CTAGATGAAGATGGCACTGTTTCAAGTGCTAATGACATTTATGCTAAATTTCATATAATTTTCTTACTGTCTTATGTATAGCACACTATGAATGCTGAACTTTCAAAAAGTTTTTATGCTTGATTTGATGACTTCCTTAATTCAATGCCTTTCTGAAACATTTGGTATTGTTTTCTCAAAACACAGTTATTTCCTTTGGCAACTTTTCCTTAATGAGTTATAACTGATGTCCATGGTAGTTCTGCAGCATAATGCAGTACTTCAGACTTTCCAGGTCAAATTCTGATCTTAATTACACTAGTAAAAAGCCAAATCAACCACAGTAAATTACTTCATATCTAATAGGCTTGTAAATCCTGCAACAAGTATACATACCACCCACCCTTCTCCCTGATAAGCCTAACGAAACTTCCTAAGGGTGTGACTACACTAGAAATGCTACAGCAGCACACCTGCTCTAGTGCTGCCGTAGTGTAGATCAGTGGTCTCCAAAGTGGGGTGTGCACACCCCAGGGGGTGCACAAGAGGATCCTTGGGGGTGCGCAGAGTTGTGTTTTCCCCCCCTTGCTTCAGCAGTTCAGGCAGAAGTCCAAGCGGCTTTTTTTTTTTTTTTTTCAGCAAAAATGGTAGAGCTGGCGTGGCACAGGATGCGTGCTCAAAATTTATTTTTACTGATAGGGGTGCACGATCAAAAAAGTTTGGAGACTACGGATGTAGACACTTACTACAGCAATGGAAGGGGTTCTTCTGTCACTAGTAAATCCATGGCTCAGAGGGAATAAGTAGGTAGCTCTTGGTGTCTATTTCACCAGGGCTTAGTTCTCCTCCAGCACCTTATACTGAGGTCCTGGCTGCACTTCTTCCCACACCTCATTTTACACACTGCATCTGTGGCCCCATGGAGTTGCAAGACCTCCTTGTCAACCCCCTGCTGGCACTGGCCAAGATAGCCCTCCATCACACTAGGAGCAGGAAAGCTGGGGAGTGGGCATGTTCTGTGACTTTGAGGTCTATTTCTGGTCCCTTATCCCCGTGGTTCTCAATCTTTCCAGACTACTGTACCCTTTTCAGGATTCTGCTGTGTCTTGTGTACCCCCAAGTTTCACTTCACTTAAAAATTACTTGCTTACAAAATCAGAACATACAAAAATGTCACAGCGCACTATTACTGAAAAATTGCTTATTTTCTCATTTTTACCATATAATTATAAGATAAATAAATTAGGGTGTAAATATTATACTTATATTTCAGTGTATAGTATATAGAGCAGTATAAACAAGTCATAGGAAATTTTACTTTGTATTGACTTCACTAGTGCTTTTTATGTAGCCTGTTGTAAAACTAGGCAAATATCTAAATGAGTTGATGTAACCTCACGAAAGACCTCTGTGTACCCACAGAGGTGTACTACTGTCAGGGGTTCTTTGCTCTGTATTCTCATCTGGATCCTTGATTTTCAACCTTTGACGTCACTCCTGTTCCTGTTTTTCCATTTGTTGTCCCCAGTATACAGGTGCAGCCTGGGTCCAATGGCAGCCCCACTTTGGTTGAGGGGGCAGGCCTAGACGTGCCTGTCCCATTACCCACAAATAGTACCAGGGCTTAGGTCAACTTAACTTCATCACGTAGGGTGTGACATTTTTCACAACCCTGAGCAATGTAGTTAAACCAACCTAATTTTGTAGTGTAGACCAGCCCTGAGTTCATTCTAATGAGTCAAAATGGCAAATGAAATTTAACATGGATAAATGTAAAGAAATGCACATTGGAAAAAATACCCAAACTATACATACAATATGATGGGGCCTAATTTAGCTACAACTAATCAGGAAAGATCTTGGAGTTATTGTGGATAGTTCTCTGAAGACATCCACGCAGTGTGCAGTGGCAGTCAAAAAAGCAAACAGGCTGTTAGGAATCATTAAAAGGATAGAGAATAAGACAGAATATCTTATTGCCCTTATATAAATCCATGGTATGCCCACATCTTGAATACTGCATACAGATGTGATCTCATCTCAAAAAAGATATACTGGCATTAGAAAAGATTCAGAAAAGGGCAACTACAATTATTAGGGGTTTGGAACAGGTCCCGTATGAGGCGAGATTAAAGAGGCTAGGACTTTTCAGCTTGGAAAAGGGGAGACTAAGGGGGGATATGATAGAGGTATATAAAATCATGAGTGGTGTGGAGAAAGTGAATAAGGAAAAGTTATTTACTTGTTCCCATAATATAAGAACTAGGGGCCACTAAATGAAATTAATGGACAGCAGGTTTAAAACAAATAAAAGGAAGTTCTTCACACAGCACCCAGTCAACCTGTGGAACTACTTGCCTGAGGAGGTTGTGAAGGCAAGAACTATAACAGGGTTTAAAAGAGAACTAGATAAATTCATGGAGGGTAAGTCCATTAATGGCTATTAGCCAGGATGGGTAAGGAATGGTGTCCCTAGCCTCTGTTTGTCAGAGGGTGGAGATGGATGGCAGAAAAGAGATCACTTGATCATTACCTGTTAGGTTCACTCCCTCTGGGGCACCTGGCATTGGTCACTGGCGGTAGACAGGATACTGGGCTGGATGGACCTTTGGTCTAACTCAGTATGGCCATTCTTATTCTGTTGATGCTTGGATGGGAAGAGGTGGAAGAAAATACACGTGTCATAACTATTTATATAGACTAAAAAGAGTGAGATTTCTATTGTGCTTTCCCATTGAAAAGGATGGTCAAATGATAACTGTTCTGCATAAGATTCCACTGTGGATCAGTCTTTTGTGTTGAATACTGTCAGTGTTTCATTTGTAATGAAAGAGATGCCAGGGCTCAACCAATTGTTTTACATTCATAACTGATGCAGCAAGCCCAGAAGTGCCAGGGCTATGAACTGTCAAACCTAGAAGTGTCAGGGATCAGCCCTGGCAAAAATTAAGCACTGAATACAGTACTCAAAGTGAAATAGCAGTGACAGATTTCTGCACACTTAGGCAATAGGAGCCCTCAGGGCCTAGACAAGACATACTTGTAGTTAGTGAGGAATGTATTCGACTTAGTCTCAGTTTCCATCAATGAAAGATGGATCCTCTCGGTCTTCAGTTTGCACTTTTCACATTTTAATCATCAGTCCTAGATCTGCATGAGATTGCTTATGGTTTCAGGTATCCTTAACCCCAAAAGCAGATGAGCCACAGGAGAGAAGAGACAAATCTATCAATGCAAATATCTAATTTGTAACAGCTGAATGGGAACTAAGAATTTTTCCATCTCTCCTTTCCCCAAACACATGTTCAGAGCTGTCAAGGGAAATGAGCACATTTGAGAGAGCAACAAGGTGAAACCATGAAAATTTGGAGCCCACGCATTAAAAACAAACAAGCACATTGCGGAATATGCGTCTTCCAGCAAACTAATGATGAATTCATAACTCTTGCAGGGCTTTTCTAATAGCTTTAAGCAATAAACCTTTGATAATTAGAGGTCTTCCCTATTGTAAGTAGTGAGATTAATCAGTGTTTACACACACAAAATTAATTAGGCCTTATCTTTACAAAAATTGAGTTTGTGAAAGGGACATTCCTTATTGAACATCACACAGTTATGGCAGAACCCAAAAGCCATGACCAAATGTGATGGTAAGTGCTCCTTCAACGGTAGCTTTTTTGTGTGGGTTTGTTTTGTTTTTAAAGCCCTCAGTGTCAAGTTATGGATAAATCAGCCAAGAAGTGATGGAAAAGACTCTTCAATCATCCACACACCCCAGGATTCTCCATCTCTAGCAATGCAGCCAAATACTCCTCCCTTCACATTTTTTCTCTTCTCATTTATCCCACCTCTCAAGTATCTATGTTGTGGTTGACTGAAGAGGCTGAACAAGCCTGTTCTGGAGCCTGTCCACCTCACTCCCTACTCAGCCATGGAATGGATGTGAAGTGGCGTGAAGCTCTCCCAGCTGGGAAAAAGAGCATTAGCTTGAAGGTTCCACGAGAGGAGAATCTGCATTTATGTTTATGCAGCTTTTCATGTCTAATTGCTTTTCCTCTGGAACCCTAAGTTGATTATCATCAAGATTTCCAGCAGCAAAATAGGCCATTCCCACCTAACCATTCCATCCTTTCCCCTCCTTCAACAAGTCACTGAAAGATGGGGAGACAGAAGGTTCCTTGCGAATGTGTATCACCATTTATTTTAGTTCAAGAGTCAGGAACTGAACAGAGGACACTGTCAGCGAAAAAAAAAAAAAAACAAATTTTTTTTTTTTTTTTTTTTTTACAGGCTTAATTTTAAAACACTGCGGTTTCAAATCCTTTTTAAAAGGGAAATTCAAGTATCTTAAGCAGGGGGCAGTAATACAAAAATGTTTTTTTTTTGTTTTGTTTTTTTAGGTTTTTTTTTAAAAATGTAATTCTACATTTCCTGCACCCTTTTTGCTTTGGTAAGGCCAAGCCATGGATACAAACTGGTACGCAACATAAAAATGACCCCCACCCCAAATTACAGGCTCCAAGAATAAAAGGATCCACTCTCCAGAGACAAACTGTAACGGCTCAGAACTGTCACTTAGCATACTATGTCTCCGGCTTTAAAAGAATTTCTTTCTTTATTTTAAGTCACTGAAGTCCTGGCATTCCCAAACACCTCCTTGGTAGCAGCTGTTTCAACATGTTCTATCATAAGGCTTTTCAAAAATACCAGAGCATCAAGATTTTCTCTATTCAACACAAAGAAAAGGGACATCTCAAAGAACAACTTAAAATCCGTGTGTCAAAATTTTTTTAAATTATTATTCTTGTGTGTCATCTAACACCAATTAAAAAACAAATATGCGAATATGTATAATATAAAAATACGATCCCAAGATTAACACTTTGTTGCAGGCACAATTATCTCACAGAATATGTTCTCCTGGGGGCAGGGGAAGGACTATTTTCACTGGGGAGTTTTGTTTTCATTTGCATTACCAAAAAAAAAGACAGCAGTGCAGGTTTGGGGGGGAGGGGGGGAGGGGAGAAAGGGAAAAAAATGTTATTTTAGCAGCAAAGTGTCCAAGGTTCTAACCACAATCAAATTAATGAATATCTGGCTGTAAAAAATAAAGTTGAAGGGATGCTGCCCTGATCCATTCATTTTTGCTAAAATAATTCAGCTGTAAAACCCCCAAATTGTGACATATTGAAGGACTTTGTTTTGTAACATTAGAAACTTCCTAATTTGTCCTCCACACTATTGACCATTGTTATCACTTAAATATATGTACAAGAATTAAGCTGCTTTTCTTCTCGTCCACATGCTTCTGGTCATTACTACAAGTCAGTGGTGGTGGGCACCCTGAACCTTAATTCCGTCTTCAGCTTCCAATGGATTATATGCACCATCATCACTACATCAATCCATGCCCTGCTCTTCTCATTGGCCTTGGCGTGCACTGCAAGGGAGTTTTTAATGGTCAGTGTTCTGCTTGTCTCTCATCCAAGCTTGGATTTGCTCTTTCAGTTCTGGCACTTGAAATGAAGAGAAAAAAATTTAAATGGTTAATGTGAAATTTGTGAAGTTATAGAAACATTAAGCTGAGAAACCACTACAGGACAAATAGTGCTGTCCTTTGGTTAGGACCGAGAATGAAAAGGGAACCCCAGAGCTCTCTTTTCTGCGCTTGTAATGAATTTGCCATGTGACTTCAGGCAAATCACTTAATCTCTCTCTACCTCACTTTATTTATCTATGAAGTGAATATAATATTTACCTACCATTATAAAATGCATTAGCCTAAATGGTGGAAGCTCTGGACTCATTCAGATAAAGAAGGGAACAATACAAAGACTGACCACAAAGAATAAAACTTAGAACTTTTCTGAGAGACTCGGGGCCAAAGCTGAGAGTGGGGAGGGCAGAACAGGACTGCTGTTCTATCCAGGCTATGACACTGCCCTTCAGAAGCCTGAGACATACCCAAGGGTACAACCCTCCATCAATACAAAGGCAGAGCTACCTGGTTCTAGCATATTTTCTGTCAGTGTCTGCCGATTGAAGGGGTCAGTGGAGGAGTTCAGCAGGTGTCGTAGGATGATTGATCTGTCCATAATCGTTCCAGATGGCAGCCTCACAGGGTCGGTCATAAGAGTGTCCATGAGTGGATCTGAAGAGACAGATGAAGCTTATGTAATTAAATTAAAGAAACAGAAGAAAAAGTAAGTGCTTTCCTGATGCCTCACAGCACAGAAGTGACCTGGTGAATCTCTCTGGGTCATTGAGGACGAGATACATTATTGAAGTGACACAGGGTAACCCAAAGGGAGGAAAAGCAGCTTTCTTAGGTGTCTCCTGCCAACTGATCCAGAATTGGTGTGAAGGTACCATCAGATTAGATCTCACAGGTGGGCACCTGCTGCTGGAAATGGGGAATTGCTGGGATGAAGGCTGCCCTAGAATGCAGAGCTGGCCATTCACTTAAAGTTAGGAAGGAGAACGAAGTGTAAAGTGTGAGCATTTCACTATACTCTCAGAGATCTTGTACTGTTTTATGACCCATGTTTGCAAAGCTGGTCTAAACACATGGCTAGGTATGAATAATGCAGTCCATGAACAGCTTTGCTCTCTTCACTCAAACCTGAACTGTTTTACTGAATTGGTGGAAGCTTCAGGACTACAGAGAACAGTAGGCTGTTTCCATTAGAAATCACAGGTCTAAATTATACATACCTTATACGTACTTTAAGCAACTGAACTCCCCTCCCCCCCCCCCCAAATTTATATTAAAAAAAAAAATCAACTTGCCTCTGAATTCATCTGGAGCATCACTATAATCGATTTCTGCACGGGCATTCTTGGCAACAATTTCCTCCACTTTCTCTGCCAGCAGTTTGAATTTTTCTATTGCTATCGTGGACTTGATTCCAGCCTTCCTCATCTTTGAAATAACCTCCTCAAATAGCTCTTTGCTGTAGGACCTCTGCAAGCAAGCAGCATAAGGAGAAAATGTGAACTAGTGACAACTTAGCTCAGTTATACCATCTTTCATCTAAGGATCTTAAAACACTTTGTAAAAATTAACTAATTAAGCCTTAACACTAATGTGAGGTAGGCAAGAGGTATATAGGAATCACTTCACTGCACACTGAAACGTAGCCACCTCTGGGATGGAGTGCAGCTGCTGCACCAGTGTATCTATGTAGGATAGGAAATGAAGAGTACTATATCCAATTGGAGTTGTAGAGGAGTTTATGGAGGCTGAACTTAATTGTCAGAGTTGGTATTTACTCAGAACACCTGGGTTACCACCCTTACTTTTGTGACACGTACTATGAACACAAGAGGTATATTTTATATTTCATCTAAAAGAATGGCAGCTTCAACTACACAGGCTCCACTACCACCTCTTTCAGAGGGAAGAGTGTCATCTATTGAATCACCACCATCCCCCAATCATTTCTTTTAGGTATTCTTCCAATAACTGATTCATCCCAACCCTGATTTGCTTGTGAGATGATCATGGCACAAGGTGATGCAGTAAGGAGGAATAGCAGTGTGCCCAAATCTCCCAACCTGCCTTGCAACTGGGATAACTGATTAGAATAGAGTCATCTTTTTCCACAAGGCACAATATGAACACAGATGAATTTGCACATGTTGGTGGAAACATCACCTAGAGTTTGGCTTTTCTGAATTATTAATTGCTATAATTATTGCCAAGGGTAGTTACATGCCATGCAAGTGTTGGGATGTGGGAATCAGTATGACACTGGGGAAATCTTGAAAACAAGGATGAAAGCACAGAGTATCTAGCCCACCCACCAGCAGGATACTGGTAATCAGGTGCATTGGGGGGGGGGGGGGAGAAATCAGATTCACCAGCTAAAAACGGGCATGCAGTTGCTATAGGGGATAGGCTGATGATTTGTTTCTCTGTGTGACAAAGTAGAAGACAATTCTGGGAAGGGACAGAAGAAGAATGATCCTTAACAGCAAAAAAATCCTGCTGCAAAAATGAGCAAGAAGTCTGAGTGAGGGAGTTGGTACCTGCTGGGAGCCTGCCAGTTCGATGCACCATGCAGCACACTGCTTCTAGAACTGCGCAGCTACACCTGCCACAGGCACAACGCACACTTTACAGCTTCAACTGACTTAGGCATCAGTTTAATCAAAACTTAAGAATAAAGCTATATACAAGTACTTTTGCAAACTGCTCATGTTCTGGAGACTATAAAGCCACCTACATGTATCTTCAGAGTGCTGGGCTTTGAAATAAGCCTTTAAAATTTTATTTTCATAGTTTCAAAAGCCCTCTTTTAATAAACACCTATTAAACTACACAGTGTGAGACTGAGCTAAGGAACAAACACGATTTAACATGCTGGGTTTGACGAGTTTCTGTTTTCTTTGGGAATTTTAAAGTGTTCTAAACACAGTGGTAATTCTCTACTCTGTATTATAGATCTCACTGAAACATTGTATTCAATGCTCAGGACACAGTGTGCCCACCCAAACTCCATGCCAACCTGGAGGGGAGAACATAACTATGGCACTGCGCCTGGGGGCTGACAAAGCTCTTCAAATTTCTTCTACGTGCTAGGATTTGTAAATCAGAGATGCATCAGAACATCTCTGCCACACACAGGCGACATTTTAGAACACACTTTTTACCCAATCGATATTATAGCATCATGTATTTTCTTGGATTATCCTTCCTGTCATTGCCAAGACACTATTCACTCCCCCCCTCTTTTTTATTTTATTTTATTTTATTTTTTTTAAATGAGAAGCCGCTTTGTGTTATCGAACATTAACTCATTTGTACTAGTTACAACTCAAATGCACAGCAGCGAGGTGGTGACAAACTAAAATAAAGCATAATGGTGTGGGAACTGGAATAGTGTTAAAGGGACACTGTCAATTTCAAAGTTATAGATAGCAAACAAAAGGCATCTTTTTACCTACATTACTGACACCATGCGAGATCATCAGAACGGAAAAATCCAATTTACTTTTCTCTATTTATGCTGTTTGTTTCCTGTATTTCTCAGCCTAACCCGGGGGGGGGGGGGGGGGGCGGGGCGGGCGGGGGGGGGGAAAAAAAAAAAAAAATCAAGCCACTTCCGCAGTTCTGCTGCTTGGAGGTGCACACACAAAGGGGAATATTTACTTACAGCGGACCCTCGCTAGAATGCACGTCTATATAGCGCAAATTCACTTATAGCACAGGACTGTGCATGGATCCCAAATTTAATTACCTTCATTGGAATCCATGGTAATGCGGTCCCGCGTTAACACAGGACCGCGCATGGATCCAAAACCCCACGTTCTAGCGAGGGTCCATGTATTTTAAAACCATTTCCATCAGAATTCTAAGCTGCCATGGAAACATTTCTATTGGTCTTTGGATTCTGAAAAGCTTGGCTTTGTACAAAACAAAACGCTGGACCAACATTTGTCCTTTCAACTCTCAAACAACAGGACAAGGAACCAAGGTTACAGATCAGCCATAGTTTACCTATATGATCGATATCACACACACACACACACACACACACACACACACACACACACACACACACACACACACACACACACACACCCACACACACACACACACACACACACACACACACACACACACACACACACACACACACACACACACACACACACACACACACACACACACACACACACACACACACACACACACACCAGTATTTTATATAGAAGCGTCACTCTAATGATTATTGATGGAAGGAAATATGTTCTAGAGGAATGAACCTAGGTTTGTGAGAAGAGGCCCTTAGATCACAATCCCAGTTCTGCCAGAGACCATCTGTGTGGCCTCAGGCATGATCAGAATCACTCTTGTGCCTTGGTTTCCCCTCTAAAGTGGTGGCCATACTACTACTTCTACCTCACAGGGGAGGCTAAGCAGGTAACGGTTAATGTTTGTAAAATGATCTGCATATGTAAAGTGCTACATATATTCTAAGAACGACTATACATTATTTATATAGCACTATAGGTTTGCAAAGCACTTTATAAATGTACCTGTCTCAAAGGAGAAGAGAGTGCCCAAGCAGAGACTAATCATGGAAAGTAAACTGAAAAGATGCATTTGAAGGAGGTTGGTTGGCAATGCACAGATAGTGGGCAAGCTCTTCCAGGAGTGATTCTGCAAAGCTCTGCCAGTTCTGTTTACCCACACCACCACCATACCCATCTTTCTTTCTGGAGCTCACCTGGTCGTCAGCAATTGCTTTAGCAAAGCGAGCACAATCTAACTGCAGGTAAATATCAGTCAGTTGGTCCAACAGCTTCTTTGGTTCAAACCCATATTTTTCAGGGTTTTCAACTTTCAGGTCACGGCACTTGGGGCCACACAATTGCTGAAGGTTAAAGTTCAGCATAGCAGCCAATCGTGGTCCAAGTTCCTAGAAGGCCAAAATAAAGTACAAATGAAAACGAGGAGGCACTGGGGAAGGGACACCACCTTAAGGGCCACATGCATCTGGCTCAAGAAGACTGCCACTGATTTCATAAGTTTCACACAGTGAGCCTTTCCTCACTGCTATCTCCAAGCAGTTATACTTGTATCCAAACTCAAGTGTTCATCATATGAAGTAGAAAACAATGCAACTTGTACTGAATATCTGCCCAAAAACACACATTTAAAAAAGAGTAAGTAATATAATTCCAGGTGGTGTTTCTTCTGCTGGTGACAAGATGAAAACATCACATGCCTATGTCCCTCTTCAGATTGCAACAATCACGGTGACTTTTCTCAGGCTGGAAGGGCAGAAACAGTCTCCACAAACATAGATCCTAGAATGCCCTTCCTACCATCCAATCTTGGCATCATCGTAACATGCTTGTTATAATCCAAACACCGAGGGAATCTGTGACATGTCTAAAAGCACCATTAACATCTCAGGGACTAAGGAAATGCATTTTATAGCACCAATTCATTGCTACCTATAATACATATGCTCAGAATTAGATTTCAGTGCACTGTGGATAGCATTACAGCTTATCTCCAGGATTTTATCCAGTAAAGAAAAAGAGCCAACCCGCACATTAAAGAAGCTGGAAACCAGGCAGGCAATGAGGAACACTAGAGCAGAACAGTTTATACTTACAGGTCTGAGGAAAGGCTTCTGAACCTGCTTGGTAAGGATATGGAACATATCAACAGTTTCTGTTGCCAGGGCAAGATACGAGCGAGACACACGCTCATCCTGAGCAAGCTGAGACTGCCGAGCCTGTTGCTGGTCCTAGAAAATAAACATGCCACAATTACAAGTCCTTATAACGCCCTACTCAATAGCTAAACGGACATGATCTAACATCCTTTTGGCAGGGAGCAGAGTTACAGACTGTGGTACAAGTTGTTGTAAGATGCTGCTCTTTTATTTAAGGTACAGCTCCCCTTCAGTAGCATGTCCTAGACAAAAGTCTGGTGTGGTGGAGGGGTATAAAAGTGGATAGTAGCAAGGCTGTAAAGTGCTGTATCACTCCAAAAAATGATTGTACAAATGGTATCGTGGTGGGGTCCCATGTTTAGTGAGTCTCACTGATTCCATATCCAATTTGCTCAGCATACAATTAAAAGGGTGGGTTGGGTTTCTCCCCTATCCCAAAATACCAGCACTGCAGAGTCAATGTTGGAGCAGAGAGTCAGGCTGGGTTCTTTCTGGCTTGTTCATTAACACAGGTAATAAAGCTTCTAAAATTGGAACAATTCTATAAATGTGTCAGTTCACTCCTTCACCTAGTAATGGCTCTGCCATGCTAACAGGAGTAAATGGTCATAAAGGGTTCAGAAGAGCAAACCTGATTCTGACTGAACACATGAAGCAGAAGCCGTGAAGGTGATTTTTTAGAATGTCACTTTGTTGATCCAGAACTGCACTTTGAATCTTTTTTCTTAATTACTTTTATGGGAAAGAGATAAGGGCTCTCAGAGATCCACACATCTTTCAAAGGTAAATCAGAAAGAGTGGATCAGTTATTGCACAACTTTCAGCTCTGAACAATTAGCAGCAAGCTCCTACAGGACTGTTAGGTGTCAAGGTCATGCTGTTTGTCACCTGAAAGGTAAAGTTTCTCTAGATTTGAAACATGACTCATGACCTATATGTCACAACCTATTAATGATTTCCGAATCTTCTATTAAAACTAGATTTGACAAAAGTGCTGGAGAATACATTACAGAGAACCATTCTGCCCTAGCTGGAGGATGGACTGGAGGTCATAAACAGAACTGTTCCAACTCTAACTCCATACAGGTTGTATGGAAGAATGTTATTTACAATCATACACCCAGTCAGTAGGACTCCAATTATCAACATGGAATATAGATGTTCCTCATATAGGGAGTTCCACTTGGTGACAACAACGAATGTGAGAACGATACTAAATAAGTGAAGTCCAGAAGGAAAGTTAGGTCTAAAGTAAGGAACAGTAAGAGCTGGACTTTGAGACCTTCATCAGCCAGAGAGCTATCCCCGCTCCTGCCAAGGGCTACATCAGCCTCTGCTGATCCAAAACTCTGAGAAAGTTCTAAATGCTAATTCCCTACAGGGTGCTGTGTTGGAGCCACTTCTAGAAAAGAAGACAGTGTTGCTGACTACAGCCAAGTGCAGTTGTCAGTTTAATATTTGGTATATCTTCTATCGGGATTATATCCTGCACTTGTCAATGGACTGGACTCTAATCTAAATGGTCGTTTCTATCTCTAACTTTTAACACACTACAGTAATTTGTATTCTTCCCCCTGTGACAAACATCACAGACATCAACACGTCTGCAACTAGATAATCCATTACAACTACAAAGTGGAACTTCAATCTTCTCCTTCACACATACACATGCAGCCACCTAAGCACCAAAGATTACAACCATGCAGAATATTTCCACAACTGTACGGTAAGTGAATCCCAGGACAACTGCATACAGTCATTTACTATCCCAGTATATTTTAAGTTTATCCAAGACTATTTAAGAAGAGAATAATCCAGCTGCCTACTTTACATTGGGCTTTAATGCTCTATTTTTTGCCACCACTGTTTGCATTGTAAGGATTATCCACTTCCAAGATTTGCACTCATGTGCTCTATCTGAGCCAGCCGTCCACATTCTTGTTGTATAAAAGTTTTGGGATAGCTAATGCTTATCTGTATCAAAAGGAGGAAGTAATGCTGTAGGGAAAATACAGACTTTAGAACATTCTCATCTGAAAGGAACTCCGCAAAATGGATCTTCCCTTTCTATCTATCTTTTTTATTTCAGATTTTTGAATCAGTAACCTCAGTATAAAAATATCTGACATTGGTGGGTGAATGCATACAATTATTGTATAACAACACTGAATCCTGGAATTTATTCTCTTCCATTCCATCCCAAAGCCTGCTTTGAGCTCAATACATTAGGAGAAAAAAAGCTCTTCGCTGGGACAGTTCTTTGAAGTGAACTCAGCTGGTGGGCATCTTCCAGAACTTCCTTTGAAAAAGGATTATAAGCCTCAATTTCTCCATTTAGCATTTTAAATACACAATCTCTTAAAAGCCTCATATACCCTCCCCCCGAATGCCAGCATTGACATAGCTCTTCAGCCTGGATTCTCTTTCAGGAAGCAATTCCCAAAGTGACCCTGCCCATGGTAGCAGCAAGCAATGCTACCTCCAGGGGCTGCTCTGCAAGAGCAGCTCTTTGGTGTTACCCTTAGCCAAAGAAATCTTAGCATAAGAAAGGAAGGGGCACTGTGGGGAAAAAAACCATGCTCACCCTAGGCAGCAGGTCCCACTGTTCTTTATTCTTCATCTCCTCTTGAACTTCATGGATCCGTTTTAGGGACTCCAGACTCTCGTCCAGCAAGAAAGTTGTGTCATTTATCAGCATGTTGATATAGCGAACAAACTGCTTCCCAGAGCTGGAAAACATTGAAATGCATTTATCGCTGCACAGTACACAGGAGTATTCAATCCAGAACGCATCTCTCAGTCTGGAGCACTAGCAACATTCCTTCTTCATACCACGGTTTGAATAATTAATTCCCCCACTCCACAGGCCAGGTGAATCAGAGTCCAGAGGCACCCTACATTCCTCTGTGTTTAGAATGGCTATAGTGGAAAGGCCTAATCATGTAAGCTGGGACTGATCAAAAGAGGTATCTTCCCCTTCCTGACAGTAATAGCAAAGTAAGAGCAAGAGAGAGCCCAAACAAGAGTAAAACAGGAGGAGGGAAAATCCTTTTTCAATGGATAAAGCAGCTCTCGTTGGCCAGTGACAGAAAAATTGTCAAATATCTAGGAACTCACATGAGAGGCCCAAATAAAAGCCACCAGGGTCTGGAAATTAAATCTGGGACAGACCAGCAGGGGGAATAAAAGGATGAAACAGATAATCCCTGTCTCTGCACATTTGGACTATAACACGATGACAGATATTAACAATTGTGGGGGGAGTGGTTTGAGCATTGGCCTGCTAAACCCAGGGTTGTGAGTTCAATCCTTGAGGGATTGAACATTTAGGGATTTGGGGATTGGTCCTGCTTTGAGGAGAGGGTTGGACTAGATAACCTCCTGAGGTCCCTTTCAACCCTGATATTCTATGATTTAACTGGAAACAAAAAAGTATGCTCAGAAAAATACACAGTGGTTCCCAACTGGGATCACCATTGTGAGCTCAGGAAAACACTCAGAAGCACAAGGTAGCAACTAACAAAGACTAAAGGAAGCACATTTTCCACAGTATCTGTGGCATAACATGACCAAGGAATGGAGAGAGTGCAGAAGATGTGCCCTCCAACACAACAGAGAAGCAAGCAGTATGCGCAGCAGCATAGGGAGGCACATTTGAAAATAAATACTGGGGGGAGTTTTCTTCTTGCAGCTCTGGGTCTTGTACATTTTTTTCATGTTCTGAAGCTAAATATCTTTGAGTAGTCTGGCTCTCCGGCTACATATCCTAGTTGGAGGGATCAGCCTCAGATCCTTACTCCAGTCATCTCCACACTTCAGAAATCCAAGGCGAGTGTCTGAGCAGTTATCTCTGGCATTTACAACATTTTACTCACTTGAACTCTTCCATGAAGGTGCCGTGATGAGCTATGTTCTGCCAAAGGCTTTTGAAAATGGTGCTGATATGGTAGCGGATTGTAAATTTGTCATAGAACTCGCTGGTGGCTCCAGTGTGCTCAACATCTGAGAAGAAAATAGAAGACCCCAGTAGTAAAACTAGAACCCCCATCATCAAAATTTCCCTCCGGTATGCTGTGCTGATTACTAGGTACCCACGTACCACACTCCCCACCCCCCTAATCTAACTGATGAGGTACAGCTAAAAGCTGCAAAAAAATAAATCACACATCTGTAAAAACAACGAGGAATTCTTGTGGCACCTTAGCGACTAACACATTTATTTGGGCATAAGCTTTTGTGGGCTAGAATCCACTTCATCAGATGCCTTGTTGTTTTTGCTGATGCAGACTAACACAGCTACCACTCTAACATCTGTAAAACTCCATCTTGGTCCCCATTTTAAAGGGGCATTGCTCACTTTATTTCTCAGAATCAACCTTCCTTTCAAAGGAAAGCAAGTCTCATGATGCAGCATCTTTGGAGGAGGAGAATACCTTATATACTACTTTTATTCCATGTTTAAAAAAATCTGCATTGTTTGGGCTCTCCAGTGTGTGAGGTGCTAAAGATAAATAATTAAAGTCAATATAGAGACCCATAAAAAAACTGGATTACTGAATACAAAAAAAATCTGCTACCTCAACATTATGTTGAGTATTTTAATCAGCCTGCCCCCCCCACCCCCAAAAATCAGGAAATTGAGTTGTTTCTACATCAACTGTAGACCCCTTTCAAATGTGTAGTAATCTGATTTAAGAATATCCATGTCTCAGGGTTTAATATTTCTGCTCATCACCACAGCATCTGATCACTATCTATGTAAAATCAATAGCAATAATGAAATCTCTAGCGTGCCTCATAGGGTATATGGTTCTTCTCCCTTTCTGGGGTATTACTTTTGGTTTTGATTTTTTAGATTTTACTAATTAACTTGAGTTTTTTTGTTCAGATTGGTTGATGTTTTTCAGGGAAAATAATATGGTTATTAGTGGCTGAAAACATGCGCAGTGTAGTCAATAAATGCTTACTAGAGAGATAACTTTGCACTGCTTGGAGATTATACTATACACTTATTCTTCTGTAGTGACCATCCCAGAGTAAGTGGCACTATACAAAAGTTAAAGGTCACATTAACATAAAACTGAATACGGCAGAAGGATGTAGCCAAATAATGAAATTAAGCAAGAAAAAAGAACTGAAAAAAAGGTGAAGCCAGAATACTCAAATGAATTAATTTTTGTGCATTTAAAATATCTGCATATTGTATTAGTTTAGGCTCTTTGTTTTTATTTTTATTTTTTTTAGGAAAAGAAAAATAGCATTTGTGTGTAGGACTATAGGATTCCTTTTCTGCCCTATTCAATTCAACGCCTATATGTTCTATGACTCTGTGCTCCACAGTGCAATAAAGCTGGCAGATCATGGTAGGTCTGAAGCTGAGATAGCTGAAAGGCCACCTAGACTCACTGGATCCCTGGGATGTATGTTTGAAAAGCAAAAGGCAGCTAGGAGAGATGGGACATCAGAGTGGATTGAAGGAGACTGATGACTTCCCAGGGGCAGAGCCCTCAAGGGCTGTCCAAGGTTTATGTGGCTATCAGGGTACTTACAAGCTCATGCACAAAAAAATTTCAGCTCCAAGCGCCGCGGGTTCCCCCCCCCCAAAAAAGAAGCAGCTTTCCTGCCTTGGAATCAAAGTGCCACTGCAGCACTGCTAGTGTCAGGCTACAATAAAGCAGCACAAAGATGGTCAGAAAGCAATATGACAAGGCATCAGCTAAAGATGTTCCAAAGGACAGACTTTGATTTTTTTTTTAGAGCCTAAGCAGACTGACAGAACCTCTTGCCCTACAAAGCTTTCACCACTCACTGTGTTGATCAATACCCTGCAAACACAATATCTTACCTGTATAAAACTTCATCAGCGAGGGGACTAACAATTTAGTGGAGAGAGGATGATTCTCAATCATTTCAAAGAACTTCTGTGTCCGTGGCTGAACAGCTGGGTTTGTCATGAACATCACCTCCACCAGCTTTGCTACCAGATACGGGTTTCGGATGTAGTTCTGGTTGCACAGCATCACAACAAGGAACATCACAATGTCCTGAGTGCAGGGCTCATATAGCACCTGAGGAGAATATCTGAAAAGAGGTGAGGGGGGGGAAAAATGCAAAACCTGTAAAGGATTCAACTACATATTGTCTCAGGCAACTCAGGTCAGACTACCTGTTAGCCCTAGCAAAAGCGTAAGTCGTTATGGAAACTAAACTCTGATTCAGATACATTAGGCGCTCTTGCTTGTTAACCTTTCCAGCTATACTCTTAGCCCAGCAGAAGAGTCTGTCCTATCTCGGGGCCTCTCCTTTTGTCCCTCCAGACCCACGAACATGATACAGTTCTGCGGTGACCTAGAATCCTACTTTCGACGTCTCCGACTCAAAGAATATTTCCAACATACCTCTGAACAGCATACTAACCCACAGAATCCCCCCTACCAGCACTACAAAAAAAAGGATTCTGCGTGGACTCCTCCGGACGGTCGTAACAACAGACTGGATTTCTACATAGATTGCTTCCGTCAACGTGCAAAGGCTGAAATTGTGGATAAGCAACATCACTTGCCCCATAACCTCAGCCATGCTGAACACAACGCCATCTACAGCCTCAGAAACAACCCTGACATCATTATCAAAAAGGCTGACAAAGGAGGTGCTGTCGTCATCATGAATAAATTGGAATATGACCAAGAGGCTGCTAGACAGCTCTCTAACACCACATTCTACCAGCCATTATCCTCTGATCCCACTGAGGATTACCTAAAGAAACTACACCATCTGCTCAAAAAACTCCCTGACAAAGCACAGGAACAAATCTGTACAGATACATGCCTAGAACCCCGACCAGGGACATTCTATTTGCTACCCAAGATCCATAAACCTGGAAATCCTGGACGCCCCATCATCTCAGGCATTGGCACCCTAACATCAGGCTTGTCTGGTTATGTGGACTCTCTCCTCAGACCCTACGCTACCAGCACTCCCAGCTATCTTCGAGATACTACTGACTTCCTGAGGAAACTACAATCCATCGGTGATCTTCCAGAAAACACCATCCTGGCCACTATGGACGTAGAAGCCCTCTACACCAATATTCCACACAAAGATGGACTACAAGCTATCAGGAACAGTATCCCCGATAATGTCACAGCTAACCTGGTGGCTGAACTCTGTGACTTTGTCCTCACCCACAACTATTTCACATTTGGGGACAATATATACCTTCAAGTCAGCGGCACTGCTATGGGTACCCGCATGGCCCCACAGTATGCCAACATTTTTATGGCGGACTTAGAACAACGCTTCCTTAGCTCTCGTCCCCTAACGCCCCTACTCTACTTGCGCTACATTGATGACATCTTCATCATCTGGACCCATGGAAAAGAAGCCCTTGAGGAATTCCACCATGATTTCAATAATTTCCATCCTACCATCAACCTCAGCCTAGATCAATCCACACAAGCGGTCCATTTCCTGGACACTACTGTGCTAATAAGCGATGGTCACATAAATACCACCCTGTACCGGAAACCTACTGACCGCTACACTTACCTACATGCCTCCAGCTTCCATCCAGGACACACCACACGATCCATTGTCTACAGCCAAGCTCTAAGATATAACCGCATTTGCTCCAATCCCTCAGATAGAGACAAGCACCTACAAGATCTCTATCAAGCATTCTTAAAACTACAATACCCACCTGCTGAAGTGAAAAAACAGATTGACAGAGCCAGACGAGTACCCAGAAGTCACCTCCTACAAGACAGGGCCAACAAAGAAAATAACAGAACACCACTAGCTGTCACCTTCAGCCCCCAACTAAAACCTCTCCAGCGCATCATTAGAGATCTACAACCTATCCTGAAAGATGATCCTTTACTCTCACAGATCTTGGGAGACAGACCTGTCCTTGCTTACAGACAACCCCCCAACCTAAAGCAAATACTCACCAGCAACCACACATCACTGAACAAAAACACTGACCCAGGAACCTATCCTTGTAACAAAGCCCGATGCCAACTCTGTCCACATATCTATTCAAGTGACACCATCATAGGGCCTAATCACATCAGCCATACCATCAGGGGCTCGTTCACCTGCACATCTACCAATGTGATATATGCCATCATGTGCCAGCAATGCCCCTCTGCCATGTACATTGGCCAAACCGGACAGTCTCTACGCAAAAGAATTAATGGACACAAATCTGACATCAGGAATCATAATACTCAAAAACCAGTGGGAGAACACTTTAACCTGTCTGGCCATTCTATGACAGACCTGCGGGTGGCTATCTTAAAACAGAAAAACTTCAAAAACAGACTCCAACGAGAGACTGCTGAGCTGGAATTGATATGCAAACTAGACACAATCAACTCAGGGCTAAACAGGGATTGGGAATGGCTGAGCCATTACAAACATTGAATCTATCTCCCCTTGTAAGTATTCTCACACTTGCTTCTTATCAAAGTGTCTGTACTGGGCTACCTTGATTATCACTTCAAAAGTTTTTTTTTTCTCTTGCTTAATTGGCCTCTCAGAGTTGGTAAGACAACTCCCACCTGTTCATGCTCTCTGTATGTGTGTATATATATCTCCTCGATATGTTTCACTCAATATGCATCCGAAGAAGTGGGTTGTAGCCCACGAAAGCTTATGCTCTAATAAATTTGTTAGTCTCTAAGGTGCCACAAGTACTCCTGTTCTTTTTGCGGATACAGACTAACACGGCTGCTACTCTGAAACTTGCCAATAATAGTTTCCTGGGACCACCTTTGAAGCACAGCTACAATCAGTTGTTGCATTTCATATGGAGTCAACACTACTTTGAAGTGCCACTTTAATGCTTGCTACCTCCTAGGGATGAAGGGATAACTGCTGCCTGTCTTTGAAGCACTGTGAGAAAGACAGGGGATGGACATGGGGTTGAAGGAGGACTGAGATCTCCTGAATTCTATGAACACCAGTGGACCCACAAATCTGAGGGAACAGCCATATTCGGCTTTAATGAGGTAAATCTTAGAAGTTAATGTGATTCTGGCAAATCTACAAATTAAAGTGCATTTGTTTATTTATTAGTGTGTTATTTCTTATCTTTAATACTGCTCTAGAGATGGTTAATACCTCAGACCTTATTACGATATCTAAGAGAAATTGCCTTTTTAACACCACATGGCATTACATTCAATTTATAATAGTCTAGGAAAGCATTTCCCATTCTGGAGGGCAGTGTCACTGGTGAGCCCCCTACAGACTATTCTAAGAGAGACCTGGGCAGCAAAGGAGATTGGGGCAGACCTGGAGTAAGGCAATCTCCTCTGCAAAAATGCTCCTATGCCTGTGGGTAAAGCAGAAATTGGCTCTTTGAAAGCCATGTCCACAGCCCCATTCCTCTTTCTGCAATGACTCCGAATGCAGTCCGCAACAAAAGCAGCTAACATGTAGAGGGCTGCATGCAATGGCAACAGCCCACTGCCACAAGCTTCTCCTCTTGGCTCTCATGGTACACAGCTTTGTGCAACAGCAAACCAGCCTAGCCGTAGGAGTCCCCAACAAATGCTTAGTCCATCTGCCCAGGCAGCATGCAGCCTTCTAGTGAGCTGGAAAGAGGGACAGAGACTCACAAAAGCAAGAAAAAAATTAGAGAAATGGAAGATTAGATAAAAAAACCCAAGAAGTAGGAAAAGACCAGAGAGAGGGGAAAAAAAACACAGCTAAAGCAAACCCTGGATCTACCCTCTCAGACAGGCACACGGGAGCCTGCAAGGTCTAGGCAACTGATATTCACCAGTTTGCTTCCCCTCACCCTTCTTTTTCTGCTTTTTTTCCCTCCAGAGAAATCACTGATCTTTTTCTTATTAGTCCCTCTCTTTGCGCTGAAACTGGAACTGACTTAGCTCAGAGTTCTGACTGGTTTTCAGTTGTAGAGAAGGGAGCCCATAGACAATTACAAGAACACCGTCTGTGATGTAGGATTGGGAAGCATAATAGTTTGCCTCAAACATGACTTCACTTACTGTACAATAAAAAATAAAAATTCAGCAACATCTTCCACATAAAACTCGGGCATTGCTGCAAACATCTTCGGGACATCAGGATTTAAAGGCAGTATTATGCTGTGGAATAGAAAAGACAGCGACAGGGTTAAAAGGAGGACAGTGGAATACCAGGGTTAAATAATATCTTCTGCATTCTCCTACGGAATTGCTGAATGGCCCTTTACAGATATCCTCATAAATATTGGAAGTTTAAAAATCCAATCTCAGCCCTTCCGATTAGCAAAACATAACTCAGGTTTTTACAGCTGTAACTGAAATAACTACATAAATCAGACTTACAGTCTAAAAATAGTCATTCATTGACAAGAACCAATCACAAATTTAGGAGTCCCGGTAGGTGGTAATGTTGAGGTAGACACAGCTGGTATCAGATATTTCAGATAGTGATTTACACACCCAGCCCTGAAACTCACTTGGGGTAGGCAGGGTCGAGGATTCGAAGCAACAGCTGAATCACCATACCATAAAAATTCAGACACCGCCTCAGAAAGTTCTCATCTAGCAAGCCAGCATCTGCACACGCCTTGCACCGCACCAGTTTCTGCAGGAGGAGGAGAAGATGCACACAAAAGGCTAATCAAGAGCAAGATACAAGAAACACAGTATGAAGGTCAAATCCATCCACTCCACTCAACACTCCCAATAATTAAGACAGTTCTGCCCCTCCCTCCATACAAAATATTTTATCATTGCCCAAAGAACAGGACACTTAAAAAAATCCCCCAATATATCAACAAAGATAGATGAATACAAGTCAACTAGATCCACAAGGAGAAAACCTTCACTAACTTGTAGTTAAGGAGCAAATATTCCAACAGTAAGAACAGGAGAGTTAAGAAGCTAGAAGAGCTGAGAAATTGTCGGAAAAAGCTGTCTAGATGGTACAGAGTAGAAAATGCCCATCAATTTACAGTTGCAACAATTAAACGGGGTATTGAAATTCATAATGAAGGATTCCAGTACATCCACTTCAGAAAGAGTTCAGGACTGAGTCAGGAGCTCTGGATTTCGAAACCCAGTTTAGATAGAAATTGTATGAGCCCATGAGCAAGTCAGTCACCCTCTGTGCTGTTATTTATCCATCCAAGAAATGGAAACAGCAACACCGTCATTCCTCAGAAGGGTGTTGCATGAATTGATTTTTGTCATCTGCTTTTACATTTAAAATTGCTCTATAAGTGCTAAGCATTCTCATCCTGTATTGTACTGTGCATATTATATAGTGCTCTTAAGTCAACAGGTATACAACAGTGTAATACAGGGGTAGGCAACCTTTCAGAAGTGTTGTGCCGAGGCTTCATTTATTCACTTTAATTTAAGGTTTCGCGTGCCAGTAATACATTTTAACGTTTTTTAGAAGGTGTCTCTCTCTAAGTCTATAATATATAACTAAACTATTATTGTATGTAAAGTAAACAAGGTTTTCAAAATGTTTAAGAAGCTTCATTTAAAATTAAATTAAAATGCTGATCTTACGCCACCAGCCTGCTCAGCCCGCTTCCAGCCTGGGGTTCTGTTCACTTGCCCGCAGCGGGCTGAGCAGGGCCTGTGGCCGGGACGCCGGCTGGCAAAGGGCTGACAGCCGGGACTCGGAACCGAGGGGTGGTGGGGGGGGGGTTTCAGGGGTGCAGGGCAGAGGGTGTGTGGGGGTGCAGGGCAGAAGGCTGGGTGTGTGTGGGGGGTTCAGGGGTCAGGGCAGAGGGGATGTGGGGGGTTCAGGGCAGAAGGCTGGGGGTGTGCAGGGATTCAGGGGTCAGGGCAGAGGGCTGGGGGTGTGTGGGGGTACAGGGCAGAAGGCTGAGGTGCTCGGCTCGTGGGGGTGCTCCCAGCCCCCTGCCCTGAGCGGCTCACGGCAGTGGGCTGGGAGGAATATGCCCTGTTCCACCCCCTTCCCCAAGGCCCGTCCCTACCTCTTCTCCGTCTGCTCTACGGAGCAGGGAGCATGCTGCTGCTCCGCTCCGCTCCCCCTCCCCCTCACAAGGGCCATCGGCGCAGGGAGAGTGAGGGGGAGGAGAAGGGGCCGGAATGCACCAAGCTGGGGGAAGAAGTGGGGTAGGGGCGAAGAGCTTGGCTGCCGCAGGACCAAGCTTCCCTCCTCCCCTGCTTCTTCCCATAGGGTGGTGCTTTCCGCCCCTCCGCCCCCTCCTCTCACCGGGCAGGCAGCGTGCCACTCAAAATCGGCTCGCGTGCCGTAGGTTGCCGACCCCTGGTGTAATATATTGAAAACAATCCTCCTATACACCTAAGACATATTTTCAAACATTTATGAAAACATGGTTGCTAGCAAATCTTTTCCATTGAAAAAGAACCACCACCCACCCACCCAGGTTGACAGGGCCATTTAGTGGTCATCCTAACTAGTTACAAACCTTAAGTTGTGTTTTACAGCGTTTCAGCATTTCTCGATGTCTGGTAGCTAGAGGAGACTCTTTCCATTGACTTTCATTGTTTTTCAGATCTTCCACAGTCCTGTAAACCACATGAAATCACTAGTGATGACAGTAAAGGGGACATATGTTGACAGCAGGTAAAACATTTACTCTACTTGATTTCAAATTACAAAGGAAAGAAATTTGGGAAGAAAAAAAATGAGATTACAAAAATTCATCACCTTAATAGAAACTTTCACCAGGACAGCAAGTTACTCTTGCATCTTTTGAAAGGAAAGACAAAAATCTTCTTCAAGGCCAAATGCTGGGATACACTAAGTACACTAGTTTCACGATTGATGATGCCATTAAGCAAACAAGAACCACAGCAAAAAAATATTACTGGTGGGACAGTGGGGAAAGGATTTCCCCTCCAGACACATTCATCATTTTATCACATTTCTAATACTTGGTTTGTACCAAATTCACAATCTCTATAAAAAGCAGAGTTAAAATCATGTCATTAAGAACAGTAACCCTGTATTAGACAAGTCTGATCCAGAATATCTGACAGGCAGGCAGGCAAAGGCCGTATCTCATTTACTCCCCAAACTAAGAGCAGAGATACGAAAAGCAGAAGCTACTAGAGGAAGATGGGAAGGTTGGGATCAGGAATGGTTCAAAATACCTTCCTCTCCTTTGTAGGACAGATACAAATGCACTCCCAGCACTGCTCTCTCAACCTCCTTCTAGAAAAGATTTCTCTTGGCAGCCCCTGTCCCCATGCACAACCCCCATTACAATTCAAGCCTGTGGGGAAAGAGCACAAGCAATGGGAAAGCTGCTCATGCTCTCCCCTTCAGTGCAAGGCCCATCATTATAACAAAGACTGAGTTTTGCCCCCTCCACCATGGTCACAGTCAGCCTAGACCTAACACGGGATAAAAGTTAAATGCAATGACTATGTCACACAACCATCCACATAAAGCTATTCAAGTCTCATCATTTGGACCTAATTCATTTAAAAAGAAGCAGCTGATTAATGTGGGTATTAATCTTAATGTATTTTAGATTTTATATTCTACATTATTATGATTCTATTTCCTACCACCCCTGGATGTAAACTAGTCTCTCTCCACACCCCAGCCTCTATCTGCTGCAGATCATTATCTGACCTTAATTCTTTCATTAGTGACATCAAAATATATGGCCTGAGTTTACAGAGGGCTAAGCGTTTCCTGGTAAGTGCTGAGCACACATGGAAATAACTCATGATTGACAACACTACATTCCAAATAAGGAAAAAAAGGAGTGATTCCTTTTTAAAATCCAGGGTCTGGTTTATTTGAAAATATTTGTTTGTGTAAAACATGTGTTGACTGTTCACACACAGATATTGACAGCTTTCCTAGCCTTTTGTATGTCTATATTGTAAATAAAGTTCAAAAATCCTTCAACAAACCTGCCATCTTAATGTCAAGGGACTTTTACTAAGTGAATACAATTATAAATAGTGGAAAACACTGATGCTGTGCAATCTGCTCTTATTTATTTTAACTGAGAAAGTTTCTTGAGGTTTAGCAATCCAGCAGCTCTAAAAAGTTTATTTGGATTCATGTCAAGAAGGGAAAACAAAAGCATCTTCGTGTCAGCATCAGAACTTAAGCAATTTTTAAAAAACAACAAACCAGTAGTTGGATTACATATGCAGCTACCTTAGAATTCACTGTGAAAGCTTTTATATAATGAAGGAGATCATTTGATATCCACCGAGGCCATAGTAGCCACAAGGAACAGATAAACATCTGTTCTGCAGCGGGATATGCAACATCGCAGACATAGGAGAGGATATGCTGCTTGTCAAGCAACCACTACAATGACCTGCATGTCAGAGACACATGTGTATGCACCTCCACAGCAATGCAAAGGGCTTAAAGCACTAACATCCCCAATCATACCACTGACTAGCCAACAAAGTTTAAACTATCAAAACATTGCAACTCTGTACCCGCTAGGATGGTTTCAAGAACTGTCCAGTGCTCTCTAGGACTACCCCTAGAGTTTGAGATCCTATATAGAAACAGCATCCTTTCCTCCCACTATTGTTTGAAGTCACGATGGATGCCATTGTACGCATCAGCACAACCAGAACCTGCAGACACAAAATACTCTGCAAGAGCTATCAAAGCAGCAGACTGACCAGTCGATAAAACTCCCCAATACTCCATAGCATGGATTTACTTAAGTTGTTGTTTTAATTTCCATCAAATTTGCAAGAACCATAATCATATATAGGAAAGCACCTACTAGTCAAGGTGGCAGGGAAAACTGTAGGGCACATGCTAGGTAACTAACACAACTTCTAACCTGTTGAGCTCCCTGATGGCCCGCAGTCTACGGATGTAGCGGCGGCAGCTTGGCAGGATGGAGAGGTGATGGGCATGCAGGGTTAGGAAGAAGCATTCCGTTGGGAATTTCGGTTCAGAACATGGAGACTGATCCCTGTCTACAAAAAAAGAACAAAACAGGATGAAGGAGAGTAAGAAAAAAAGCTACATGAATTAGTGCTCAGACTTCGAATAACTCTCATTTCTCTGCAGTCTTAAAATAAGCTATAAAAGCAACAGACAGTCCCAAGCAAAACATTTATGGTACTGAATGTTTTGTGATATCCCTAATACCAGAACAAAAGGGTAGAGACAAAAAGGTAGACAATGCATGCTCTTTACTCACAAAGCTCAGCCATCCAGCCTGTAACATCCTCCATTGTTGCTTTCACTCTTGTCTCATCCATTGGGACGGTGATGCGACACCTGGGATGGAATATATAGGTGGGATCAACCGTTTCTAGCTTTATCTTCGTGCTAAGCTGCTGCAGCACCCAGAGGAAGTTGAGCATAAAACCGTCCGTAGACACCATCCGATCATCAGTCTGCAAGACAAGGGAGAGAAAGTGAAAGCTAGAATATAAAGCAGCAGGCAACAGACCATTACAGTTGGCAGGCCTGGGACTCCAGCATCCATCGCTAATACACAATGCATGGTTAAAACAACAAATAAAAGAAGGACCAGGACCTCTAAGGCTAACTAGAATATGAGCAGCTGTAACTGTTAACAGCATTTCCCTGCCCTGTGTGTGTCAACCACCAGTCATTTTTATGAGAACTAAACGCACATACTTAGGGGAGAGAAAAGAGGGGGAAAGGGTCTCAAAGAGGCTTCTTAAAATTTTTTAGCATAGGGACAGCCAGGAACAGGAAAGATTCATAAAGTAGCTAAGCTTCAGTTCTTAAAATTTACCATACAAGCAATATTTCCAGTAGTTCTTTGTTTCACCTTGAAGAAAACAGTTCTGCAGATAGTTTCAAAATGTTTGCGTCAATGGAAAATGGGGACTTCAAGACACTGATACCTCAAACCGCACACATTTAGGATTCACAACCAGGTTATACCAAGGCAAAAATCAACTAACCAATGGCAAAAAAAAATCAGCGCTGTTGCTTCAGTGGAATTGTGCCAATTCTCACTAGGGCTTACTCAAATTTACAAGAGCCACAAATAAAGTGAGTGCTTGACAGTATGTTAACTGGGGGAGAAAACAAGTTTTCGTTGCAGCCAGTTGGTGGAAGCTGCCAGGAAGAGCACATATCAATAAAAAGGCACAAACTTCAGCCAAGGAGGGTTGTGTTCTAACAAATTTAGATATTTCAGTACTCAGAGAGGAGTAAGCAAACAGGGCAAAATAGATTCATTTCAAAAAAGAAGAATATACAGAAAAATAATATTGAAAGAATGACCTAGATGGAATTCTTGGTTGCTTCAGGCCCTAGAACGTCTGTTGTCTTCTGTTAAAACTATCACCGCCTCAGCCACTTAGAACTATTTGTGCTAACCACATCTGTGAATGAGGAAGAGAGTTCAGTCTTTACCTGCATCTGTGCCTTCTTCATGTTGGCATCAACAACAGCTGCCATGTAACTGAGAGCTGCCTCTCGAGTTTCACCATTCAGCAAAATACTATGTAGAATTTTAAACAGCTCTTGCTGAAATTTAAAGTGAAAATTATGTCACTGAACAGCAAGATCATGAAAACAGCAGCACAGAGACACATGTGCATATTCCAAGTATTATACAGAATTTACTATTCAGTTGTAGTCTTCTTGTAAAGAACACAGCTATCCCAGGTATGAAAAATATTTATTTACAGAACAACGTTATCTACAAAAGATTATAGCTTAAAAATCATGGCAACACAATCACTGTGGAAATGTACCAGGTCTTCTTTACTCATCCACCCACAAGAACTGAACGTTGAGAGACATTTGTGAATAATAAATATCTGGTGGTAACAGTACCGATATTCCTTGGGTTTGGGTAGGGGGGTTACTGAAAGATCTCCTAGTTTTGTGGCTCTCTGGTTAAACTCTTCTTGCTGGGTTTTTGCTCACCCTGTTCTTTACTACTTTATTGTTTAATGGATGGTCTATATTTTGTAAAACACCCTTCACCCATGTTATGGAAACCAAAAATTAAAACAAACAAACAAACAAACAAATCCTCTGGCAGCAATTAAATATCAGGATACTTACCCTTGCAGATTCCAGGTAATGCTGCAACGACTGGCTAACAACCCGCGTGTTTTCAAGAGTAATGGCAGGCCCTGAGAAATATTTTTCAACTACTTTAGTCTGAAAGAAAAAAAATTTGCAAGGAGTACAAACACATCTTTTGGGTTCTTTTCCAGATGAGAGACTGCAGACAGCATAGTACTTACATCATCTTCAGCAAAGACAGAGAGACTGAAGAAAGCTCCAAGGTAAGAGAGTCTTTGCAACTCTCGTCCTGCACCTGGGCTTACAGGTTTAGGCAACCACAAGGGCAAAGAAACGACCTACCAAAAAAACCAAACAAACAAAAAGGAACAGGAAGACATTGATGGGCAGCCAAATCATTAACATTATTTTTCTATCTGCATTTCCTTATTTGCATTTCTCTCTGTTGATTCTTTATCATCCCATCACACTGGTAGCAAAATGGTGAAGTCTGTAGTGCTTCAGAAAGCTAAGCAAACAATCTTTGTTTTATGTCTCTCTGAACTTGAGTTGCCTCTCCTTGAGAAGAGAAATAACTGAATTTATTGATGTTCTTCTTCCTTGGGCAGATCTTAATTATTGCTTACTATTAAATAATACCATAAGTCCCAAGAGCCCCCAATGAGGATGAGGGCCCAATTGTGCAAGATGCTACACAACCACATAACAAGAGTCACTGGCCCAAATAACTTATCGAAGAAATCTGGATGGTCCATCATCTAATGGATGCAATTCTCAACTAGATTGGTATTGCCAAAGAATATAAAGAATAAACCATGCCATAAGCAAGAACTGCATGCAAATTAGAGATGAGGTAGGCTTAACAGATTGGGCATGAGGATGGAAACCATGAATTCATGGCCTCCAATCCTGGAAGCCACTGACTTTGTGTGTGGCTTTGGAGCAAGACACTTCTTTGTGCCTCAGTTTCCTAACTGTAAAACAGGAATACCACCTACCTAACTTTTAAGGGTGTTGTGAGAATAACTAATGTTTCCAGAGTGTTTTGAAAGCAAAAATACTATGCAGTTGTTAAGTATTATGTAGCAGAAATCCTTACATTTAGGTGTGCGGACACTTACCAAACTGCATATAGGGTGTGTTTTCCCAAACTTGATTTCACACAATTCACCTAATGCCTGTAAAAACAAACAAACCGACAGTTCATTCAGATGCATTTCCCAGACCACCCTGGCTACCAATGAAAAGATAAACATGCTAGAATGCTTAAAAGGCCAGATCCTGCTCCAGTTAAGTCAATAGTAAAACATTAATTGTCTACAAAGCGAACAGGATCTAAATATGCTGATGCACACCTTGCAACTATCTCGGCTTTTATGTCTTTTCAAGTTGCCTCAAGAAAGCCAAATATCACAATTATTTTAAAAATTAACTGGGCAAGTTATTTGCTTGTTCAATACATAATGTTCCTGTTGCTCAACTCCTAAACTGCCAAACAAGAGTCAGTAAGAGTAATAAACAGGGCTATTGTCCTACACACACCAAGGCCTTTGTCTTCCGACCCTAGTTGGAGCATCGTCAGATGAATGCTGAGGCCTGAAACAAAGAATCCTATCTACAAGCTCTAACTCAAGCTAAACTGCAGAGGAGAAGGAAATAAAGAGGCTATAAAGCAGGATTTTGAAAACGCAAAAATAACGTAAGCTTTTACATGCTCCACTTCTTGTATTATATGTTCTCATACTTCTATTACAGCGTATCAAGTTAACTACTATTCCACCCTTTGCCACTTCAAGGCTCTGCAGAAGACACTCCAGCAAGTGTTAACCTATGCTGAAGCTGACAGCTGAATTTCACCAGGGTTCCAATTATTTAAGGTTGGGGTAGCCTGAAAATTGGGGAACACGGAACAAGCAGAGAAAGATTTTTTTTAAATGTGGATCAGTGACATCAAATTTGCTTAGTTTGCAAAGTCCCAAAGTGGTTTAAGCTAACTGGCAGAACTGCAATCTCAACCCAGATCTAAAGCAGTCCTCTTTCTGGTTCAAAAATCATCAGTAAGAGATCCTGCAATCTGATTTTATCTGCAATAAATGGGATAGAGGAGAATCCTGCTTGCTGTCTTGTATCTGTACTTGGCTCGGCAACGTTGCCTACAGGAATAAAAGTTTGGTTGTGTCAATAAATCAGCAGTTCTGCCTCAAAGACACATTGGGAGTTGATCTATGGAGTAAAATAAAGTGCTTTTTTAAAGTAACTTTTCAGTGGTCAGACTGCCATGAATTTCCTACAGTAGACAGCCAAAGTTTGAATCATTTTGTTTATTGAATAATGGACATCAGTTGGCTAGATAGAGAGCAATATAAAAAACAAACAGAAGTAAATAGTGGAAAGTATATTAGATTTCCCCCCCCCCATTTCTGATCATTTAGGGTTTTTAACAACAATTATGGGATTTATTTAGTTTTTAAAACACATAGCATGTGCACTAATGGGCGAGACCACATCTTTCATCTGTATCACCAGGATGTAAACATTTGAATAGACTGTTGCATAAAGTCTGCTGTACATTAAACCTGAGACATTATGAGCGCCACAGATTCCACCTGGTCATTACTCTTTGTTACTCACCTCATAACACTTTAAATTTCCAACATGAGGTCAATGTTCAATAAGACATTTGAAGCAAGCCAAACAGGGTTAATTAAAGTTACTTTGAACAGAGTCTGCATCAAATACTGGGTATCTTAAAGCAAAAGCTGCTAAAAAGGAATAGTCCTTACCATAAGGGGATATTTAAAATTGTCACTATCAAGGGAGCACTCTTTGGAAGCAAGAGCCAGGCCTTGTAAGATAGGGATAAAGATCTGTAAAAACATAAGTACATTACTTATACACTTCAGAATGGGAACCAATAAGACATAGATGAAGCCACAGCCCTGGGCACCCTGAAACCCGCTCACACCTCAAATACTAATATGTCCACAGAAGGAAACAAAATATAAAGTTTGTTCTGTCCATTTACATAAGTTATTTCAAAAGAAATAGCAATGTTTAAATGTAAAAAGAATAGCAAACCTAGAAGTACAACCTCAATCCAGTTCCTTTACGCTTAAGGCAATGAAGTTCAGCCCGTAAGACTACATCTTTTTTGTTACATTTTGAGAAGAGCATCTGGCATGAATCTTCAACGCATCCAAATACAGTGTAAATGATAGATCAACTTGATGTCTGTACATGAAAATTCACTTGTACAAACAGTTAAATATTCCAAACACGTGAGCACTTGAAAAGTTTTCCTGGTCAGTGCCAAGAACCTACATAAGAGTCTAAAAAATTCTAGCAATGCAAACATGCTAATCTGGACTTGGTCATAGAGCTAGTGGAACACACAGACACACGCTGCAGCTAATCAACAATGGTAAAGCCACAACAAGATTAGGGACCTGATCTAGCAAACTCTCCACAGGTAGAAATCATGTATAAAAATATAAAAATACCAGAGATTATTGCCAAGAAGAAAGGGTCTCGGGCTTCCTTTAACAGCTTAATAGCCCAGCCTTGCAGTACTCTATTGACCCATTCACTTGGGAGTCAATAGTGATTATATACAGCAGAATAGTATTTTCTGGGCAAGTAGATTTTGTGCCTGTGTCGGTAAATTTTAATACTGTGATAGGCATAAACAAAACAGCAGCAGTCACTGAGACTGCAAGGAGGAAGGAAGAAGGGAGGAAATGATTAACCAAGAAGTAACAACACCCAATTACAAGGGCCCAATCACACATTATCGAATTTTTCCTTTTGGAATAAAAATCAAATATTTGTTTTACAAAATACAGGAGTGACCACTGGAACCCAAATAGAACTGTACTGGGTCTCTTGGATAAAGATATACAAATATCATCAAATCGTGTTAGGGAATCTGGTTACAAGGCTGTTCCCTAATCCAGTTAGGGGCATGGTTCCAATCTTGATCTTAATCATGTTCCATAACCATTCCCTGACAGTGTATGTCTACACTGAAGCTGGAGTGTGCCTCCCAACCTGGGTAGACAGATACATGCTAGCTCTGCTCAAGCAAGCAGGCTATACTCCCGGGGAATTCTGCGCTACTGCACACGCACATAATGAATTAGGCATGCATATTTTTAATTTTTTGCGCAGAAAAAAAACTTCGGCTGGAATCTTGCTGCAGTTCTGCCTTTTGCCCATCAGCGGGCGCTTTGGCGATAAATCACAACAGCCACTCCCAGCCAGCTAGAGAAGAGAAAGAGCCTGCAGAGCCTTCTTCGCAGCGAGCCAGGTCAGGAGACAGAGGCTATGGGGCTGCTGGTGGGGGTCACACAGGGGCTCAGAAGGGCTAGTGGAGGACAGACTGGGACAGGGGCTGAATGGGAGTGGAGGCACAGGGTCACGGCGGGGAGGAAGGTGCAGGGGCACATGGGCAGAGGGGGATGGGGTACAGAGCTACAGGGGGAAGGCATGGAGGGACACATAGGGACAGGGGAGTTGTTGAGTGGGAGCACAGAGACATGGGGGTGGAGGGACATGTGGACGGGGGGTTCAAGGACACATAGGGGTGCAGGGGCACATGGGGACAGGGCAGATATGCCTGACTGAATGGGAGAGGCTAGGGTCAACCAGAGTCTGCATGGGGGAAGCTCCCTAACAGTCCCGCCTGCCCCCCCGCCCCCCAAACCTGTTCCATACTTTTCTCACCCATACCCAACAACCCTCCATGTTCACACCCAGGCTCCTTTCAAGCAATTACTTCTCTCTCCCTCAGCTCCTCCTTTACAACTCAACTCCCCCAAGCATTTGCACTGCTTCTGAGGGGTGCGGGAAATATAGTTCTGTATTGTAGTTTAAATGAATTATTACTCCGAGTTCTGTATTAATATGCCTAGTAAGGAATCTATTTGTCAAAACACATTTTCTGAATCTTTTTTGTTGTCTGTATTGTTACAGATGTACTTGCCGACAGATATTTTGAAATAAATTACCAAAAATAACTGAAACTGGTGTGATTATATTGAATCATTTTGACAAATAAAATATGCAGAATTTTGCAGAATTTGAAAATAGTGTGTGCAGAATTTCCCCCGAGTAATGCTAAAAATAGCATGGACTAGCCACCTGAGTACAAGCCCGCCCAACCCTATGGCTCTGAACCTGAGTGGCTAACTTGAGTACCATTAACATGTGAGAGTCTACCCAGGCTCCCAGTTGCAATGTATACATACCCACAGTATCTTAGACACACTCCAGGTCAAAGCACTCTTTGATAATAAGAGCCCAAATAAGAGTTAACACATAAATTAAGTGGGCTTTTAACTCTGCAAATTGATATTTAATTCCAAATAGGAACGATAATATTTCTTCTGGACTCTCATTCACATGAGCACATGTTAATTAAAAGCAGAGGCATTTGTAGTGATCACATACTTCTTTCCAAAAGCCAGTTCCTATTGGTGTTGATGCATTTGCTCCTCACTTATATCAGTATAATTTTCAGGAGTTAATACAAGATAAGAATTTCTCTACATTTTCTAAAGCAGTGGTGCTCAAACTTTTCCAGTCATGCCTCCCCCTTACTAGTATACAATCTGTCCATGCCCCACCTGTTACAGCACACCCAAGGCTTCCTCAGCAGCAGAGCGTGGGCTAAAGGCGGAGCTGGGGGCGGAAACAGGGATGGGGAGTAGCTGGGCCTGGAGGTGAAGCGGGGCTGGAAGTGTGATGCTCCCTCCCCGCCCCCCATGGGGCTGGCCCCAGCCCTGCTGTGTACCTCTCCAAATGTTCTTCTCTGCACTTTGAGAACCATGTTCTAAAGACACTAGAGATTTCATACCATTCTGAGTGCTGCTTTGTTGTGAGTAAATCATGGGTGCGCTAATCAGAGCCAGTAATAACCTGACTGACCTGCTTTGGCATTAAATTGTGAAGTAGAAGCGTGGCCTAGTAATTAAAGCACAGGACTAGGAATCAGGAGAACTGGTATTCCAATTTCTGGCTCTCCCATTGACCCACCCTGACATCCAGGGCAAGTTGTTTACACTCTGTCTCAGCATCTTCATTTCTAATGGGGGATAATAATGGTTCCCTATCTCAGAGGGGTGTTGTGAAACCTTAATTAATTAATATTTGTAAAGTGCTTATAAATCCTTGGGGTGAAAGTGTTATAGATGCAAACTATGAATTCACTCTGTCCCTGGCAAGATGGACAAAAACTAACATTTCTAAATGTGTGATTTGGGAAGTTTGCCATTTTATGGATCAGGGAAATTTGGATAGAATGATCTGAAAAGTGACAGTCCAAGACAAAGCCTTACAATGGGATACTACTGTATGCAAAAAAGTTTCTGGTAGGATGCTTCAATGTTTCATTAAAAAGTGCTGCTTATTATGGAATCTTCTTTACACAACAAATCTATAGATTTGCTTACTTTAAGTAAAACTTCATACAGAGCTCAGTCATTCTTTTTGAATCCCTTTAACAAGTGAAACAAGAGAGACAGCAAACTCCCCCAATTGCTTAATTACTTGCCAGTCCAGGGAACAATGGTTCTCAAACTGTGGTCTCAGAATGTGGTCTGCAGAACAAAGAGTTGGACAGCCACTCCCTCGGATAGTTCAGGCACTAAGTTGTAGAATATGCTAATGCTTGCAAGTTGAACAACCCTCTTACCTGTTTAAACATCTCTTCATCCTGGTGAGTTGTTCTCACCAATTCTTGGATGAAGCCAAATGGAAGATTCCTACACAGCATGTATGGTACCAACAGAGACTGCTGCTGCAAAGACCTTTATTCATATAAAAAAAGGGGGGAGGGGGGCAGGGAAGGAGACATCTTTCAGAAAAAAACAACTGGTCTCACATTTACTGATACACCCAGATAATGGAATGTCATAACTGAGACAATTACTTCTTTCAGAAGCAACTAACCAAGTCTCCCCAAGTCCTTGTACAAAGATAATCCGTCAGGGGATGCTGCTGCCAAAACCCCACTTTGGTCTAATGTGGTTTGAAGAAAACTATGTCCTATATAAACTAATTGGTTCTCCCCTCTACCTCTCTATACTGAAAAGACCCTTTGTTAGGCTCATCCTAGTGAAGCAAAAGCATTAGGTTTGTTCCACTAATCTCAACCTGTTCATTTTTCCAACTTTAAGGAAAGGATGAAGTCATAGTATTTTCCAAATTAACACTTACTTTTTGTAAGCACACCCTATGAACCTGAAACTGAACTGAACCTTTTTCTCTATTACACACAAAAACAGTTGTTACTCTTGGGTTGTTCATCTATATAAGTGGGTGGCTCACATTATTTTTGAGAAGCTTATTGAAGAATTTGTTTTGAATAGATACTCGTAAATTACTTGGATTTTAGCAAATAAGAAAAAAAATCAGGTCAGTGTTCTACTATGACACTGTCCCTTTAAATACTTAGGGCTTGTCTATACCAGAAGTGCTACCAATATAAATCCCCATGTGGACACAGGTATCAGAGGGGTAGCCGGGTTAGTCTGGATCTGTAAAAAGCAACATCCTGTGGCACCTTATAGACTAACAGATGTATTGGAGCATAAGCTTTCGTGGGTGAATACCCACTTCATCAGATGCATGTGGACACACTTACTCCAGAGTAAATGTGACTTTTTTGGTTTAGCTTAAACTGCTTTCAAAGTGACAAACTGAACTAGATAAATGCACTCCTATACTGGAATAAGAGTGTCCACATGAGGGTTATATTGGTAGAATTACAGCAGTTTAAATTTACACCTTAGTTTATATTGGTATATCTTCCAATATAGACAAACCCTGAGCCACTGTAATCACAGAATCATAGAACTGGAAGGGACCTCAAGAGGTCATCTAATCCAGTCCCCTGCACTCATGGCAGGATTAAGTATTATATAGACCATTCCTGACAGGTGTTTGTCTAACCTGCTCTTAAAAATCTCCAATGATGGAGATTCCACAACCTCCGGAAGCAATTTATTCCAGTGCTCAACCACCCTGACAGTTAGGAAGTTTTTCCTAACGTCCAACCTAACCTCCCTTGCTGCAATTTAAGCCCATTGCTTCTTGTCCTATCCTCAGAGGTTAAGAACAACAATTTTCTCCCTCCTCCTTGTAACAACATTTTATGTTACTGAAAACTTATGTCCCCTCTTTTCTAGACTAAACAAACCCAATTTTTTCAATCTTCCCTGGTAGGTCATGTTTTCTAGACCTTTAATCATTTTTGTTGCTCTTCTCTGGACTTTCTCCAATTTGTCCACATCTTTCCTGAAATGTGGCACCCAGAACGGGACACAATACTTTAGTTGAGGCCTAATCAGTGCGGAGTAGAGCGGAAGAATTATTTCTCTTATCTTGCTAACAACACTCCTGCTAATACATCCCAGAATGATGTTCACTTTTTTTGCAACAGTGTTACACTGTTGACTCATATTTAGCTTGTGGTCCACTATGGCTCCCCAGATCCCTTTTCGCAGTACTCCTTCCTAGGCAGTCATTTCCCATTTTGTACGTATGTAATGGTACATACTATACATATTGACTGAAAAGGTGTCCCATTTCTGTAGCTGATTTTACTCAATTTTTATCTACTTCTGTAGATATACAAATTCTGTGTTAGATGTGTGTCTATTTCATGGCCAACATCAACTTTACTCACCTTGGTTGTGTTAAAGATCCCTGTAGCACCAAAGCAGCATGGGAAATGCACTGTGATCGGATGTTGCTCAGTAACTGGCTAACCGCTGGCTGGCTACACATCTAAGAAGAATTAAAAAATAATTTTAATGCAGAATGAAAACATTCAAAGACAAGACACAGGAAAGGCAGTGAACAACTTCTGCATTCATGCAATCTAAGCAAACAGATGGCATAGATGGCATATTTCCAGCTAAAGATTCTTCAGATTACATTTAATGAGCTGAACTAAATAGTTTCCATTCCACTGTTGTCTACAAGGGAGACGTTTAGGTTTATGTTAACAACAAAGGCTGCTGGTCTTAGAGATGTGGTTCTATGTGTAATAAACAATTTAAAGCAAAGGAAAGGGAATAGATAGATGCATGTCAGTCCCCAAAACAATGTCAATTTTACAGATGTCAAACTAACACAGATGGGGGTTCTGAACACAAACTTTAAAAGGCCAAATAGGAATCTCAGTAATGAAACAAAACTTCTCACAAAGCTTTTATAGAGCTATCTGCTGCAAACTATCTTTCCCCTCTGGGCAACGTAAAGTAAGAGAAGACAGTTCGAGACTCAGTGCTGTTGCAAATATGGCTTTACTCTTCTCTACAATACCTTTGGTGCTTTTCTCTCCTCTATTCCAACTCTGTCAAAACACTCAATGAGGTAGTTCAGCATCTCTGTCTCCTTACAAGTTTCAATGCTGAAATGGTCACTGCAGGAATCACAAGCACTTGCTCCAGCAGAGCCTCCCACACTTTAAAAAAAAAAATGGAGAAAAAGAAAATCAAGATGTATATCCCTCTTCTACCAATGTCTTGCATGCTCCCAACTTTCTCTGGCAAACAACTTCTTTGTAGCAGAAAACCTCATCCCAACACACCACACTCATGCAGATAAGACCTGTAAAAGTAAGTTTATTTGTGTGAGCAGAAGTTGCTAAATGTTTTTGTCCAGATCTTGAGATAGGACCGTATTCTCACATGACTCACGTTCTCTGCTTGCTGAGCAAGCAGCCTAATGCAATTCCTAAAGGGGGATCAAGACAGAGCAGATGTTTGACAGATGGTAAAAGGCATGTAACACTAATGGGCCTTTATAAAAGTGATTCTCAGATTGTGGATTACAGAGGTGAAGCAGCCAGTCTTCAAGCAGTGATGCTTCTAGCTAGTTGTACCCTACTCCTGCACTCTTTTTTATGGTTCCCAAGTTATCTGACCAGCAACACTGAAAAAGTAACAAAACCCCTCCACACAGCTGCTTCACATTCTCTCTTGGGCATCTACTGTAAATTCAGCCACAATCACACTTTTTTTGTATAATTTTTTATTCAGATTTTTTGAGCACACACATTTGGTTAATATAATCAGTCACAGAAGCCATGCTAGTTTCTCCCTATTATATCATGCAACGGAATTTTATTTTTAAGTTACAATTTCACATAGTTTGGCTGGGACTGAAGCAATGTTTACTGGGCTGTAATTCTCTGAATCACAGGAATGTGAATCACAGAAGTGTAAGTCGTTTCCTCCTCCCCGTAAGTAAATCCATACATAAGTAATGTAAGTAAACTGGCTTCTGGTGGGTGCATGTTTTGTTTTTTAAGATAGGTTCCCCATTTGCTTCCCTCCAGCTCTCCAATACAACAGCTCACTTTTAGGAGACTGGTTGTTTTCATTAGCAGCTCAGACACTGCGTTCTTTTGTCTGTCAGAATTATTGGATATACCACCTGGTCCTGACAACATGTGGTGCCTTAGGTTATCAACTAATACCAGCACCTCCTTTTTGATACCTCTATCTCTAGCAGTGTCTCTCATTTATTGCCTTGGGATAGGCATTCATCACCACCCTCTGTTTTACAGACATGAAAAATGAGAGATGAAGTGACTTGCCCAAGGTTACACGGGAAATCCATGACAGACACAGGAACAGAACCCTTTTCTCCTTGATCCTCTATCCCAAGTCTCTCTTTCTCTCCAGTTTAAACTTGGCAATTTTATTTAACATGCAAATCTCAGTTTATAAAAGTAGTTTACAACTACATATAACAAGTTTAAAAAAAATAAAAACCTGTCAATATGGGTGGTCAAACATCTATTCTTCACAAGGCCATTTTTCAGGGTCTCTGGGTATATCTAAACAGCAAACAAAAACTCGCAGTTGGCCCGTACCAGCCAACTTGGGTTCATGGGGCTCGGGCTGCATGGCTGTTTCACTGCTATGTAGACATACCCAGAGACCCAGGGTTTGGGCTGGAACCCAGGCTCTAGGACCCTGTGGGGTAGGAGGGTCTCAGAGCTCAGGCTCCAGCGCAGAAGTCTACCCAGCAATGAAACAACCCCACAAGCCTGAGTCAGCTGGCATGGCCCAGCCATGGTTTTTATTTGCTGTATAGACATACCGTCTGTCTCTCATTGCTAACATCTCCACCCCAATAACCAGTTTAACCCTACTGACATGTTATTGGTTCAAGCTTTGATCCAGTGTAAAACTACACATACATATGCTTTTCTCCATGTAGTCTCTTTGTTATACTTTGAATTTCTCACCTCCAGCCTGAAAATCACCACCTTTATTTGTACAATATCAACTTCTTTTCAAAAAAGGTTTTTCACGCCAAAGTTAGTTACTTTATAGGCAACTTCATTTCAGCAATGGCTGAAATGATTCCTATACACAGCTATATATGTTTATTACACAGGCAAAGTGCTTTGTAACTTTCAAAATGAAAGTTATTGCATAAATGTTAGATTATCATGTTAATACTTTAAACTGATATTCCTCTGCAGTCAGTTAGAATGTCACGACATAACATACCAGCAAAGCCACTTGAAGCGTGGCAGTCCCATAAGAGATTACACTGCACAAACTCTGTTAACTGACATCTGGGGTACGTTTTCAATAGCACAGGTGTAAGATTTGAAATTAAAGCAAAGGGTGAAAATAACACAGAATTCCCTGTACACAAACTGCAAAACTTTAATCTGAATAAAATACTTCTCCTGAAATCACTCAGTGTGGATTGGAAGATGGGAGTTTATTCAACTCACCTCTTTGAGAATCTTCCAACAACTATTTATAAAATCTACAGCTTTTAACTTTGTCACAAGAGTTATGTTCTAATGTTCCACCACGGACAACCACATACATAAGAGCTGGAAAGGTCTTGTTGGACTTTCCTCCACTACTGTGCAGGACTGGATTTCTCCCTACATGGCACTTTCCAGTTCTGTGCCTAGTCTAGTTTTAGAAGTCCCAATCAATGGTGCTTCCACCCACTTCTCTTGGGAGGATACTTCAAATCCTAATTAGATTTCCCTAATTTAGGAATTCTTAAAAATTAATATTCAGACTAAATTCTCCTTTTAAAAAGTCTTATTGCTCTTTGTTATACTCAAGATATAAACACTCTATCTGGAATACACGAGACAATAAGCACAATGTTGTAAGCATCATGATTAGATTTTTATTGCTATAAAGAAGCCTTTACAGTATCTTAAGACAGATCAGCGGCTGGCCGCCATCAGCTTGGGTCAGGAAACTGAAGATGGGTGTAAAGTATTCAATATGCTAGAAATGTTATAGAGCTATTGTTTTCCAAAGAACTCCCCTTCTCCAAAGGGCATGCTTCCCATATACTATTCCCATACCCATCTCCTAATTTGGCTAAGTGCAAAAGAAAAGAATAGATGCCAAAAATGTTTCTTATAGATATTTGTTAATGGGAATAATGGAACCAATATCACCAGGGCCAGACCAGAAAAACAGATCATCTAGAACTGAGCAACACGCATTCAGGGAGTTGTTTATTTTTTCCATTTCAGAAGTTGCATCCTACAGCAAAAATGTTTCAAAGGAGGTTGAGACACTGTGATACACATTCAGCCATTTGCTATTATTCTCCAGCTACACATACCATTACAGAAGATCCTACCCTTCATTGTCATTCCTAGAGGCATCTCCTGCCTGGCCCATTCAATATTCAACAAAGAGTAATATATTTGCAAGGCTAATGGGTAACCTCCACATGCAGTGAACATATCCATTCTCATTGTGTTGTCATGTATTTCAGTGCCATATAAACTGAAGAACTTCACAATGGGATGGCCATGTCTTTGACTCACAATAAGCTATCTTTCTCCCCAACTTAGTGTCCCAAATGTATCAGTCTTCACCACCCCATCTCCACTGGCTGCTGATTTCTACTTGTGCACTTGAGAATCAGGTAACATGTGCTTCACAGATTAGAGGAAAGATGCTCAGCTGGAGTAAATTGCTGTAGCTTCATTAACTTCAATGGAACTGCATCAATTTACATCAGTTGAGGATCTGGATCTGTCTTTTACTCCCCACTAACTTCTGTCCTCATTTTCAAGTATTCAGAAGAAGTGCTTGTGCAGGAGATAGCACTGACTTTAAAGGATGTAGTTTTTGATGAGCAATATTCCTCATATCATGCATTCAGTAAGGAGTTCCACTTACACGGCTATTTCAGACTTTATGGTCATTAAACCTGAAGGGCAACATGACTAACATTTCCTGTATTCTGAGTCATCTCTTTTTTTTAAAGAACTGGCTAAGTAGGACTCATTATGCATGTTTATCCTTCATCTCCCATTAAGACCTGTCCAAGTTATCTCCTTCTTTACTATTTCCAAAGTTCCACTGAAGAACGCTTAAAGCTCCACAAACTGTTAGTTCCTAGAGCACCCAAACATGCAAGTTACATTCTATTTCTCCAATACCTGGACCCAAACTGGACACAAGAAAAATCACCATCTTCGTTTTCTTCATCACTACTGTCCCCAGACACATCAGAAACGGCAAGGAAGAGGAGGGAGAAAGGGTTGTCGTATATACTACCGCAACAAAAGCGAAAAAGGCCATCAGAGAACAAAACAGATTTTAAAAATGAAAAGACAGCAGGAAAAGTAAAACTGCTATAGTTTTCCTTTATAATTATCTGTCAAAAATCTTCCTAAACATGCAGCAAACAATGGTTAATACAATCCATGACATTAGAAAAATCAAAATTAAGCTAACATGCTCCATGACGCTACTATGAGTTATTCACATACCAAGATAAAAACATTCATACACAACTAATGAAGTAAACAAGGAGAGTCTTTAGAAAAATTACAGCATAAATGGAAGCCCTTCGATCTCACTCAATACTAAAGATCAGAGCTCTGAGCTGCTCAACTGAACCACAGCATTTGCAGAGCAAAAAATGAGAGCACCAAAAAGGCTGTTTGTTGGTTTCTCCCTCCTACAGAGGCTGGGGGATCCTGGAAGCAGCTAGCGGAGGGCCAGCATAGTAGTTAGTACCTGTCTTTGCTGACAAAGAGACGCTAATCTATCATTTAAATCTATACACTAAGGAGTCAAATCTGACATACTCCAGCAAGCAAGAGCATTCAACAAACCAACTGAAGACCCACACCAAGTTAATTACAAAGCAGGAGACCTCTTTGATAGACTATCCAGCATTAGTGACCGAACTGCAATTTAAACGAAAGGAAGATAGTTTACCAGTAAGGAGGGGGGGAAAGGAGAATAAAAAGAAGGGGAAATATATAATGATATTGCTACCTTTATGCCAATTATGTTAAATATCAAATACCTACAGAAAAAGGTTTAGTACTTTGGCAGCCAGGGCTTGTTAGCAAGTCAATATATTAGCAAATCAACGTATTAGCTCAACGCCAACAGAAAAATCAACGCTTGGTAAGTAGAGTGAGCTCAGTACAGAGACAAGTTCTTCCAAACGGCATAAATGCACCGCACCCTGCACTGCATATGTAATAGACACTGTTTGTGCTTGTGAATTACCTAGAAGGAATCCTGTTTAGGAAAGAAGAACGCCTGCTCAAGGTACCGGGCAAAGCAGTGGACAAAGGTGGGCCCACTGTTGTGGGCCGCTGTCTGGACGAGCTGACTGGCACAACTTGAGGACTGGTAGCCATGACTGGAGGACTTGGTGAGCTAGCTGGGATGGAGATATTCAAGGAGCGTGGGATATGAGAAGCTGAAAAGCCCCAGGGGTGGGTGATGGTATATGGGTGGTACCTTGGAGAGGAGGGCTGGACTCCAGAAGGACTTGCTGTTGTGAGATGAGGGCTGACAGAAATGGAAGGCACAGATGTGATGGCAAGAGAATTGGCTGGTGGGGTAACAGATGAACCAGTCATTGGCACATGGCTTGAGAAATTGTTACTAGGAGCTGGACTAGTCCCATAGAGACTAAATCAATTAAGTGGGAAAAAGGAAAAAAAAGGAGTCATTTAGGATACATAGAAGAAGGGCAAGCGAGAGACAAAATGAACAACAGAAACACCCCACTACTATTAACTAATCAGTATATGAATATTCCACGTAACACATCACATACAATGCTTTTACCTACTGATTCTCATTTTAGGATATTTGCAATATTTAAACAATGTATCAATTTCATTGCTTGGATTATACATTTAAAAGTTAAGAGCCAGATCCTCACCTGTCAGTGAGGCTCCAATTACTTCATAGACTCAGATTCTAAAAGTCAGAAGGGACTACCATGATCATCTAGTCTGACCTCCAGCATAGTGCAATCCACAGAACCTCAGTCACCCACTCCTGCAATAGACCCCTCACCTCTGGCTGAGTTACTGATGTCCTCAAATCATGATTTAAAGACTTTAAGTTACAGAGAATCCATCATTTACACTAGTTTAAATCGGAAAGTGATCGTGCCCCATGCTGCAGAGGAAGGTGAAAAACCCCCCACGGTCTCTGCCAATCTGACGTGGGGGGAAATTCCTTCCCGACCCCACATATGGGGATCGGTTGGACCCTGAGCATGTGGGCAAGACCTACCCACTAGACAGCTGGGAAAGAATTCTCTGCAACTCAGAGCCCTTCTCATATAGTGTCCCATGACGGGCTGCTGGAGATATTTGCTGCCACAGATCAGCTACATGCCATTGTAGACTGTCCCATCATACCTCCCCCTCCACACACTTATCAAGTTTAGTGTTGAAGCCAGTTAGTTTTTTTTGTCCCCACTGCTCCCTTTGGACGTCTGTTCCAGAACTTCACTTCTCTGATGGTTAGAAACCTTTGTCTAATGTCAAGCCTAAACTTGTTGATGGCTAGTTTATATCCATTTCTCTTCAATGGAGCTGTATCAATTTACATCAGCTGAGGACCTGGCCTTAATGACCGAATGTGCCTTTAACCACGGAAGTCCAGTCAAGAAGGCGGAAGAACATGCCGGTGCAGCAGGATGAAGCATATTTTTTAACCCTCTATACTTGCTGCTTTTGTGGCATGTCTAAGCCCATATGAAGCAGAGGACATTAAATGCAAGAACTCAGGATTTGTTTACACTACAGAAGCATAACTATGGCACTGTAGCTATGCTGCTGTAACCCCATAGTTTAGACACTACAGCAATGGAAGCGGTTGTTCTGTCACTGTAGTAACGCCACCTCTTTGCGGTAGCAAGGTTGACAGAAGCATTCTTCTGTTGAGCTACCAATGTCTACACCAGGGGTTAAGTCAGAATGGCTACATAAGGGGAGTGTCATTTTTCACGCTCCTTGAGCTACAATTGTGTCAATCTACCTTTTAAGTGTAAATCAGGCCTAAGGCTCACCCTTACAAAACCAACATTCTAGTGTACTCAAAGTTACCTGGATAAAGAGCTGGAACCAAAGGAGCCCACATTACAGAATATAGGACTTGTTCCTGGGTTGGAGCCAGCGTTTAGAATCAGATTTCTGTCAGGTGACCGGGCAGCTGCTGCAATTGGCTGGGATGTGGCTGTCAGGCTGGCAAATGGGTTTTCGTCCCTCGACTGGGTGGACATCATCAGAACTTCCATTAAAATCTGGCCAATCAAGTCCTTAAAATCTGAGAACACTGAAGAGGACAGCAAGAAAATTAGGGACTGCTGTGGGGATGAGGATTCTCCTGAGGGACTTCGGTGGTTAGCCCAACCAAAATATTTTCTTCTATTTCCATAAATTAAATGCTATTGTTGCCAACAGCAATAGACGAGGTTACTTTATTTTAAAAATTATCATTTGGTCTCTGTCATCTCGGGTTTTGAGAATACAGCAACATGCAAGCTCAAGGTTTGTGGAAAATGCAAAGAATTGTGCATGGTCTAATGTCATTACTGTGGACATTACAGATAATTTTCTTTTTAAACTCTCTTGTATTTTCCTTCCTTTTGTTGAGTTAGGTCACAGAATGTCACAAGGAAAAGCAAACAAGTTTAAATTAGCAATGAAGTATTTTGGTATCTAGTAAGCGGACATTTATATCTGACAAAATGGCGATCAACCTAATAAAGAGATAGTAGACTTCCTTAGTTTTATCAAATGAACAGCAGCCCTATCTATGATGATGCAATATTGAATACTTCAATTTGAAAGGGTTTCTGAAAGAGTCAAAAGCATGGCAATGCTGGCACAAAAGTTTCCCAACAACAGACTGATCAATTTGTTAAGGCAGTTGACTTCAATGGGAGTTGCTGGTGCTCAGCACCTTGCAGAATCTCGCCTTTGTCCATGTATTGTGGCCCCATTGTAACGGCATCTGCTGATGACAAATGTATTTTGTGCTCAGTAACTTCTGCATCAAGCAAAGAATGCAGCTAGAAAAGCTCAAGCATCACTGCAGCATCAGTTATAGGACTGCAGCCGAACAAAAAGCTAGAGATGAAGCTAGACAACAAGCCAGCCACGCCATTTTAATGTTTGAAAACGATGACAAGGCTCCTCCAATTTGTTCTTTCATACCCCAGCTAGCACAATGGGAACGGCTGAAGTTCCTACCTTCTTTTGGGTTCTGCTTAAATTGCTCAGAGAGCGAAGTGAGGAAGATGACGTCTCTGTCTCGGTCCTTCCAGGATACTCTGAAGATCTTACAGACCAGCTGTAAGGCCTGCTCCTCGGATACTTCAGATCCTGATGGAGGCTCCTTGTTGAGGGAAGAGGGAAACATTTTTTGCATTCATTTTGGTTTGGCTTATGCAAGTCAAAGTTTCAACAGGCACAATATGACACCTTAAATCAGCTCTGGTGGCAAAAGGAAACAGGACAAACAAAATCCAACACTTATTATCCATTGATTCTGTAAAGAAAATGTTCTGCAAGGCTTCTTACATGTCAGTTTGAAAGCCACAACTAGACTCTGGTAGCAGATTCTGTGTGCTTATGAAAGGACAGTCATACCAGTATCAGAAAATATTTCAAAAAGAAAAATTATACAAAGAAGAGTTATAGGAGAAATGAAATGATATCACACAACTATATGGTGCTAAGCAACTGGCATGCATCATACTAGAAAATAGTGTGGGAAGAAAAATTTTAGCCTAGATACTGGCGCAACTCTCTACTCTTACAGGAGTTCTATGTTGATTTTAATTTTATTTAACGTCCACCCAGAGCAGACAGGACCTCCATTTTTTAAGATTTCATCTCAAAATGAAAACCTAAAGATTTCCCCCTCTTTTTAATCCCAATCTTTGTTTTACCAAAAAAAGACCAACAAAAATAATTGTGTCCATACAGCAGTTAAAAACCATTTCCAGTTAGCTGGCTTGCAGAATGTTAAATACAGAGGAACGCTCTTTATTCATGGCCGGATCCCAACTCTTTGACGTCAGTGGGAGTCCTTCCATTGACTTCAATGGGAGTAGGAGCAGTCTCACGGCACAAGTCAGCGTCTCTTAAAAACTTAATTCTACACGGAAGTTCCACTGTAAATGACATTGCAGTTTGCACACTGTGATACCTGGAAGCAACTGGGGATTTCCAGTTGCTAGAGGAGACCTGAATGAATGTAAATAGGTCCCAGCATAGTTAATAAGTACTTTGTCAAACAGAGAATACAAGAAAAAAAAATAAACTGAGAAAATTAATCCTGATACCAAGTGAAAACTTTTGGTCATAACACTTGGGGAGAGCTGTTACAAACTGTTGCTTGCTCGATCTAGCTTTTGTTTCACCCAGCCCCAAGGCTTTGCCTCTCTTTCCAAAGAGGAAAGAGCAGGACAAAGTACTCAAGGGCCTGCCTCATTCCTCTCCTCCCTTCACTTAGCAAAGTCATGTTAACTGTATTCAATTCCAAGGCAAAACAAGCTTCTCGGCAGTTATTCCCCTCAAAAAGTTGTCACCATAAATAATTGTTAACACAAGGAATGAATTACAGTGGTTTTACAAAGGTGATGCCAGATTTTGGGGTGCACAGATAGAAAAGTAGCTCAAGAAATAAGGGAAGTAAGTTTCAAATAATCGTCATCTGCAAAGAGGGAGGGATTGAGAGTGTTTAAAAACCTTTCCAGGACATATATGCAACCAGCAATCTTTGTTCTCCATCATGGCTGGCCTGGCTAACTGTAATTAGACATAAGAATCACTCAAGAACACTGAAAATACTTGTTGCATAAAGGTCAGTGGTTTCTGCCTAAAATTATTTCTTCTTTTTTTCCTCTAGCACTTCCCAGCAAGAACCCTGCACTTGGAGCTCTATGATGTAGGGCACGTTCCACCAGTTCCCAAACACCTTTTGTTGGGACACACTGGTCACTGGATTGGTGACTGGACTGTCCTCATCCCACTTTTCCTTATTCCATCACACCACAACCCAACACACTTGTTGCCATCTTTTCTATTCTCTTTCCTTCTTGTCGGCAAATGCTGACTTTTTAATGGCAACAACTGCAGCTACTGACTTAAGCAATACAATTCACCTGAGGTGGTCTGCATTGGAATAGCTTGAACCCATATACCTTTGTTCTCATTTTACCATACATCAGTTTCCAATACATGCTAAAGTTGTCAGTTACACAAAGTAAAAGGGCCAGATCACATCACAATGACAAAACCCCAGCAAATGCGATTTTAAGCCATACCAGTTAAGAGATGGAAAATGCCTGTTGGATCAAAGCCCATTCTCCTGGAAGAGTATGGGATAGTTATCAGCTAGAACACATCAGGTATTCAGCTGATATTGAGCTTTTTAAAAAGTATCAGGATAAGTCAGTATCTTCTGAAGAAGTTGCTCTCTTTAAAAAAAAGAAGGTTGGCAGGGGAGGGAGAAAATTCAAACTAGAAAAAAAATGAAAAAAAAAAATCTGACAGGTTAGCACTCAAGATCCAGCAAAGATTGCCTCAGTTTCCTTACCACTCCCACAAAAGTTATCTACCACTATTGTTTCCCATTTTTCCATCCCTCCTCTGCTGCCAATAAACAATACACAGGATTACGGACCTCAAATAACCTAGAAGCCTGGGCAGGATATGATAACTTAGTGTGTATTCAATTAACAACCGTAAGGCATGTACAATTAAACTGGTACTATTTCTATTTCACACAACACAAGAACTAAACCCCAAACTCTTCTATTTCCTTTTCATGCAAACAAAAAGGCTTCAATACTGACATTATCAAAATATCAAAGTTATTCTAAAATAATGCCCACATTTTCCATGCAGAAGGAAGGGAAGGAAATTTCCTACTTATAAATTGGGTTTGGGGTGCCTCCTTTCCAATTCATTCACTCAGAGTAGTCAGAAGGCTAAAGAGGAATCAAGCCAAGTTTGCAAAGCTTCTTCGTGCTCTCCACTGAGCCCCCCCCATTCAAGCCACCCTTGATTTGAAACTACTTATTTCACAGCAGCACAATGGAAGCGGTCTGACTGCCTGGCTTGCAACCAGCGACTGCTCAGAAAAATAAGTTCTGCTTCAGGGTTATTGCAACAGGCTCAAAGCCAGACTTTCACCAACTGAGCTTATTACTGAAAGTGCAGAGGTAAACAAAGGCTTAGAAGGAGCACTACAAAAATGGTGGTGGAAGCCTCTCCACACCCACATTAAGGCCGCATTTCTAGCATTGGACCCAGAGTCAAGTGATAACTTTGGAGTGAATCTGAGCTTTGGGTCTGGTTCCACCCTGTTCTGCTCTTCAGGGTCCCATCCCTTGTCTAGATGGGTGGGAGAGCTAGCTGCTCTTCTTTCTCTCTTTTGTAATAAATAAATAATAATAATACCTAACTCATATAGTGCTTTTCATTAGGAGATATGAAAGCGCTTTACAAAGAAGAACATGGTCTTCAAAATTATATCCGTTATTTCCCGTAACAAGTGTTTGCTTTGATCTAATTGCAGAAAAATCAGATTTCGAGGATTAAACTAATTTTATTGCAAGGTAGAATATCCCTCCCTAGGTCTCTTGAGAGCATTTTTCCATCAACTGGATTGCTGAAGCTATTGTGCAGAAAACACTGAGACCATCCAGTTGCTTGCTACAAAAGTTCATTATCTCATGAGTTCTGTCTGTTTTAGGTTTGACCAGGGAATTTGAGGAAGGGAGTGTAGTCAGATGAAGCCTGAAGGCTGGGTATTTCCCCTCAAAAACATCTATGTGGCATAAAGGTGAGTGATCCAATGGAAGACAGATTAGGAGAAATACTGTATATTGCTCTTCCACCAATCTGACTATTGTTCCACATCCTTTGGGGGGCCTACCAAAGATTGATTCTGATTAGGAACATTTCTCCAAGTCTGATTTAAAACTTCTAGAGGTAAAAGGGAAAGCAAGACATCTGCATGGAAAAATTGAGAACAAAGCCAGTACCATAATGCTCATCTATTAGTCCATTTGCCTCACTAATACAAGTAAAAGGCAGTAGACTGAGTCTAAGCCAAAGTCTTTGTAAAACAAATCTAATACTTTATGAAACAGTAGCATGCATTACACTAAACAATAGAACAGCCATGCTTTAAATTTAAACATTAAGTTTAATAATCCAAGTAAACTCGCTTATAAAATGCAAGAGCTAAAATGTCACAATACAGAGTTTCTACATCTGGCCTGAAATGAAAGAGACTCTGGGACTAGCCAACCTTATCAGTCAGGCTCCTTTTCTCTCTGCGATCACTCTCATCGACCTCCATGTTCTCTATTCCTGAATCTACATCCACCTGGGACATACTGTAAGAGGAAAGAACAGAAGAGCCCATTAACTGCTGGAAACCCAAAGACAGTTCTTTATGAAGATGCTGACTGAAGGAGTGTTCTCTTAAATAGAAACTGCTCAGGAAATAGGACGGAGGCATGGGAATAGCCAGATCCATAAATGTGGCAATTAAAAGTTACTAGCCAATAAATGGGTCTTTTGGGTCTGCCTCTCATATTATGTTTGCTTTAAACACAGGAAATATGACACTGAATTTCTTAAGCAGGCAAAGAAAAAATATACATTGTAGGAAATAATACAACATTTTAACCTTGACCTTTAACATGGTTGGGAGTGGAAGATAAAGAGTGTATTTTCTTTGTACATATTTACATGGCCTGTAGTGCAGTACCTGTCTGGTAGTATAAGCAGCGTTCTTTACCTTTTCTCACAGGAGACACTATCAATATCCATGCTCTGGGACCGGGAGAGAGACTGAGATTGTGTTTCAAGGCTGTTAGACGGGGAACTGCTGAGCGAACTCACTCCTTCACTGCTCTGGCTTCGGTGGGCTACTCCTAAAGAAAAGCAACAACCAGATTAGTGCTGCAGAGATAGGAAGCCACCACATAATTATCCAGTGAGGTCCATGTAGTTTTTTGCAATCATTTCTCAATCCAGCTATTAAGGATTCCAGGTAATGCATTACTGTACCAAGGTTTACAGAGCAGCAAGATTTACATGTTGGCAGTGATTTACACCAGAGCTCAAAAAGAGGACTACACGAATTTTTCCTTCTTTTCCAATATGCTCAGGTAAAAAATGTGGATATGTCAAATACACTTATCCAGCTCAATAACACCCTTCTCCCACCCCTCTCCCTCCAAAAAATTGCACTGAATGCAAATGCCTGAAGTGATCAATGTGAGAGCAAGGTAATCCATACTGGGGCTTTGATGCAATTTCCCTACAGCTTTGTGAGGTCAGCCAGTTTTTAAAAATTAATCCTAAAGCAAATAAATAATGTATATGCTGTTAATAGACAAAACAACAACAAGCCTCATGCTGTAGAAAGTGACTGACCAAATCAGAAGATGTGCCTCACAGCAAATTGTTGCCAAGTTTTAAAGTTCATGGAGTCGTTTATAGATATATTATTAGATATGTATAGGTATCACTGTCTCCATCCGTCTGACCCCCATCCTTCATGTGGACAGATCACCCTCACAGATGCGCACACACAAGCTAATAGTTTGCACCAAAAGCAGTTTATATGCAAATCCATTTTTGCTTTTGTGGGTTGGACCGGAAGAAAAAAGGAATTTCCCACGCCAGACCTCCTGTCTGCAGTGACCAAACTCTCCTCTCTGAGGCAGGTTGGTACATCCACGTCTGGGTCCCACCAGTGCAAACCCAGTCCACCTTCCCAAGCAAGGAACTAAGCTCACTATCAAACTCTGGTCATGTGTAAGATAGTGATATATGCTGTCAAAAGACTGCCAGGTCATCCCAACCCCGTCTGTTTATCTATCTTCAGATGAACACAAAAGTTATAGTCTTCATTGCAGAGTTAACCTCGGCTGTGACCTGAGTGTTGCCCATAAGCTGGTTCTCCACACACTAAAACCTCCGACCCGAGTTCAGTGGTGCTTTCAACCACGCTAGCTGGCCAGTCATGGAGTATAGTCTAAACCCCAAGTGAGGCTTTCACTTGGGTAGTATCCTGCCCACTTTGCAGTGAGGATGCAGGCTAAGACCATTCAAATGCTGACCCTTTTCCCATGATTCCCTCCATGTGCCAAGAAGGGCAAACAAGTTCTCCCACAATTCAGTGGGAAAGAACCAGTGTGGCTCAACTTACTAACGCACAAAGAACCACGGGATATGCCCCAGGTATCCTAGATATGCAGACAGATGAGCGCAGCACCAGTGAGGATAAAATAATTGAAGTGCAGCTATGCAACATGGCTACGCTAACCTGGGTGCCAATCAGCCAGGTTCTCTCTGATGTGAAGGCACGCACACCAGCATTCAAGGGTGTAGGGAGAAATACACATACAAAATTCATATTAATGCAGAATAAACCTTAGATTCAAACTACTGAAAGCAGACTGAGCGCTACTGACATCCATATAGAGGTTAGTGCTGAAGTGCAGCACACTCCTAAAATTTCTGCCTGGTGATACTGGGTCAGGGAGAGGGATGTTAGGTTAAGTCTTGCCTAGTAATAAATTATTAAATTACAAACTGTTACTGTAGCAGTTCTGAGGTATTATACTTGTATGCTGATAACTGGGCTCTTTGAAGACCAAGCAAAGAAAAAGGTATTATTAGCCTGCTTGTTTAATATAAAAGCAGCAGTGAATTCCACTCCTGTAGGGTTTTCCATCTGTTATTTACAAGATATTCCCCGATTAGTATTAGGTTTCAGGTAAAAAGTGTAAAACCAGATTGATAATCTATTTTTAAATTCTAGCACTGGGTCTGTTCCAGCATTACTACTCTGCAGTAGCTTCTCCCATTCTTATGGCAGTAGCACATTTTCAAGTTAACAATGTGGATAGTGAAGTAGAACAGATCCAGGATTATGCCATTTTTTCTGCAAGTGGTTTGTTTTAGCAGTTTCTTCACAAAATATTTCAAAGCCTTGACACAAATTTCAACCTCATGAGGAAATCTGAACAGCAAAAGTAAGGCCAGTCTGCAGAAGAATATAATTTGGAAAAAAACATTTTGCTTCATTTGGTCAAAATGAAGAATAAATTAAGTAAAACACCTTCTCAACACTTTAAAAAACAAACTTCTGGTTGTGTCCACACTTTATAACAAATCATGTTAGCAATAGCTATTTAAATGGGGTTGGGCCAGATTCTCTTTCTACATATGAGTGTATATCTGGAGTAATTCCATTGACTTCAAGGAGTTACACTGGTGTAAAACTAGTTTAAGCGAGAAGTTGTCAGACATCCTTGTTTCTAGCAGTTTCTTTGTCCAATATGGAAAAGGGGTTTTGTATTTTTAAATCCATGTTATAAACATGGTATGGGAGACAGTATGCACTGTGGCATAATTTGGCTAAATTGTCATAAAAAAATCCCTATTCAACTTGGTCAGGGACCTACACTAGAAACAACCATATGGTTATTGTTAGAAAAGTTTCAGCTGCAATGCAGAGAGGGTGTCAATAAATTAGCTCCACACTACACACACAAAAAGTACTGCGTTGGGGGAATCATGTTATAATACAGCATGGTCCCATCCATCAGAATTTGAGGGAGTACTATTGTATCTTAACATGATTCCGATATGCACAGTAAATCTATACATTGAAACAGGTAGCCAAAAATAGGGCATATTCTGAAAAGGGTCACCGAGTTGGTTATGTCTCCATAACACCCCTTCAAAATGTGTGTTAGCTTTTTTTCTATGGGTTTTCTGCAGCCTTAGTTCTCAGAACACTTCTGATAACAAGTACAGATTTAGCTTCCAAAAAGAACTGAACTATTGACAAAGTGCAATGATGGCCCAGTAACTTGATGGGGATGGAGCAACACTAAATTAGTATGCACTCCTTAAAGCTTTGCCATGCTAGGGGCAAATGAAGAGACACCAGCTGACAGTTAAGTTTACCAACTGGTTACTCTCAAAGCCATCTTCTACATTAAAAATAGATTTCCTAATGTTAATGTATAGCTGGAATTTTGAGACACTTTCTTCAGATGATTAAGTTCCGCATTTGAAATGCATATTGCAGAGCTCAGTTTTTTAAATCTTCTAATTTATTTATGGAAGCTAGTGGGGATGTTTATTTGCTCTTACTGCTAAACTGTCAGTCTCCCAATTCCCCAGGTTAGGTGGCTTGAAAGGCATCTAGTTATCAGTGGTAATCAACTCTTCTGTTAATATAAAAAAAAAAAAAAAAGTAGAGAAATAATTAGAGTGAACCCAGCCAATCCTCCCCATTTCAGGAGGGAAGAAGAAGCTTTTGGGCAAAATCTGTGTGTGGGAAGAATTGTATAGTCCCTATATTTTTGTGCATTTCTTTTATTCCACTGTATATGCTAAAAGCCACATGTAATGTAATCATACCTTCTCAATGTTAATTAGTTAAGGTCTGTGCAGCTTTTTGAAGATTTAAAGTGCCATGTAAATGCTAGGTATTAACAGAAGTACCAGTAGGTTCAGATTTGCAGGAGGCAAATATTAGAGCTCTAACTGCTCTCTTCCGAAAAGTATGGCAGATTCATGCAGCAAGGTGCAGCTGGAATATCCACTGTTCTGTAGGATCAACCACCATTTTGGATTCCATCCACTTACAGGGTAATCCCAATGCAAACTAATAATTTTAAAATTACAAACTAAAATAAGACAAGCTAAGAAGGAACAGAACAAGCACTTTGTTTTAATGAGTACGATTGTCAAACCATAACCTGCCAAGCCTGATCAGGCAGTGTGTCCAAACCCTGCTTAGCCAGAGGATTGTGGCCTCGAAATGGGGCCTTAAAGAAAAGAAGAGTTCATAGAAGAGGGGGTGATAACCACGCTCTCTTGAGAAGGGGAAAAAGCAAACCTCTATCTCAAGGAATAGGGTACGAGTCTTTAACCTCTGATTTAAATGGGGTAGGAATGCAGCCCAGTGGCCAGAGCATAGCACCAGAAGCCAAGACTATTCCTGACTCCACTTCTCTGTGTGCAAAATGCAAACAAATAGAATACACCTCTACCTCGCTGTAACGCTGTCCTCAGGAGCCAAAAAATCTTACTGTGTTATAGGTGAAACCGCATTATATCGAACTTGCTTTGATCCACTGGAGAGTGCAGCCCCGCCCCACCGGAGCACTGTTTTACCGCGTTATATCCGAATTCGTGTTATATCGGGTCGTGTTATATCGGGGTAGAGGTGTACTTAACTTCCTCAGACAGGTTGTGTGTCTGAAATGTATTCTGAGATCATTAGATGACTGGCATAATAGACATGCAAAGTATTATTAATTAGCATGTACAGCAGAAATACAGTTAAACTAAGATTAACAAAACATCCCAGTTCTGTGGCTGAAGAGACAAGTGTGCTCTGTTGAGTGGTATGAAAACACAGAAGGAATATGCAACTCACACCTGCCACAATTTACATGGTAAGTTTAACAGTTGTGAACAAAAACAAAGGAATGTGGTAAATGTGGGTTAACAATCTAGATAGGGCTGAAGCTGACAATTAGCATGTCATTTCTAACAGCATTCTCAGCCAATTAAGCATTCTCTAAAAATGAGGAGGAAAAATGGGATCTGGGATCCTGTAAGACAAGTTAGATTTTGCTGAAATGCCCATTGGTCAATATTAGATATTCACAAATTATTCAACTTTATGGATGAGAAAAAATAAATCCCACTGAAAGTAGATAGATTATGAAATGCATGCTACAGCCTTGATCCTGCAAGTCCTTGCAAAATGCACAAATCTGTTGCAATCCAGCACAAATGATGGCTAGAGGCAAGCTCAAGGAAGCATAAACGTCAGGCATACCCCTCAACACTGAGTAGAAGCAAGCATGAGGCCTCATTTACATTAAGGAGATTGATGTAGTTACTCCAGTGCTAATGCTTTATGTAAATGTGCTACACGAGTTTAAAGCAAGCCTTACATTAGTGCAGTTTACGTTACTACGTGACTGGTTTAAGGTGTCCTGGTGTAACCCCTACTTTGTTTCAGTCCAGTGCCTGTGCAAACAACAGCCATTTAGTGACTTCAGTGCAAATGTCCTTAATGTAGACAAGACCCAATGGTGCCAGTGCACCTACTCCATTATCTACAGACAATGCAGGGGGAGAGAAAGTAGACGTGTGAGCAGAAAATGGAGGTGATAAGCACGATCCTCCATCATGCGCATGAGGTACAAAGCTCTACATGCCTCCCAGGGCCTTGCTCCTGCTATTAGACAAAAGCACCTTGGTGGCCACACTGCCAGGGCCGGCTTTAGGCACCGCGGGGCTCGATTCGAAGGAGCTGCTGCCGCAGTCCCGCCACTGTCTTCGGTCCTCCTTCTGCCGAAAGGCCGCCGAAGACAGCAGCAACAATTGAGCTGCCGACGACGACAGTGCCGGGACTTCGGCGGCAGCTCAATTGGTGGAGGGTCCTTCCACGGCAGCGATCGAGCTGCCGCTGAAGACAGCGGCGAGACTTCGGCGGTAGCTCCTTTGGGACGTTGCGGGGCCCTCTTAGGGGCACGGGGCATGATTCCAGGGAATCGGCTGAATCACCCTAAAGCCGGCCCTGCACACTGCAATACTCAATATGGGATCAGGGTCCCCTAGACTGTGTCCTACCTATCACTTTCTATCTTGAGATAATTTGCACAACACCCCACACCTGCATTGTGCTGGAACAAGTACTCCATGAAACATTTGACCTTCAAAACTCAGTCTCTTTTTAAAATAAAAGAATGCAAATGGAAACACTGTAAATACATATTGATGTGCACTGAACACATACGTTGTATATGTCTCACTCCTTTATTTTATTTATTATTTCCAGAGTCTCTAAATATGCTTCCCAAATAGGGACAAAGTAATAAGAGTCTTTTCCACTAAATGGATCCTGTGCTCTGACCTCGCCATTGTATGCAACTCCTCGCGCAAAGGGACGCTTACAAGGACATTATTTTGCTGGAGCTGCTCTCTTCATATCTAAATGAATTAAAATCATCTGCAGTCATTTTAGTGTAGCACTGCTACGGGATTCCTGCAAACTGTAGAGCTTTAAATGAATCTTTGCTGATGTGAAGTGCGTACAATGGATGCTCAGCATTGAACAACACCACTTTCACTAACCACCACCAATTTTCTAGTTTATCTAACCCCCGCATTCTGGTCTGAAAAAAAAAATTGAACATTGTTTCAGTAATCAGTACTATGGAAATTGGACACTATTTTAACTAGCGATGTTATGCTTCTGCCTATGACAAACCAACAGCTCATGCATCCCTAGGGTATGGGTGTCTAATAAATTTGCCAGACTGACCTCTCCAGGTAAACAAACTGTGACCCATGAATCTCTCAATGCCAAGTGGTAAGAGGGTTACAAGAATATCCTGATTCTGGTATGTATATTCTGGTTCACCAAATAATGTCATGTGAGTTCTTAAATGAAAGCCAGGGTCACATAATTGAGAAATCTAGGTCCAGATACTATGTAAGGAGTTATGTATGTATACTGAAAATATGTTTTAAAAGTCTGTAACTCTGCCTTGATACAAAGGCAGACAAGAGATATTTATTCACCTGTCTCTCTGGCATACAAATTAAGCATTGTAAGCTAACACAATGGGGAATCATTTACACAGAAAGTTAAGGGGAGGGAGGGGGAGCGTGTGTGAAATCAACAAGGAGGCAGCACACTGAGAACAAGCTATGGCTAGTGATCCTGACTCTGGGTACAGAAAATGAACTTTGTGAGATACAAAGAGAAAGCAAGACAGATATCTAGAAAGTAGGTGTACCTTTATTCTTCACCTAGGAAATAAAAGGACAGCGCATTTACATTCATGAAAATGGGATCTCTGCCTACCTTGGTGGAAGACACTGCAAAAGACTTCGGGTGACATAAGAACTCTTTAGACAGGAGGTTAGCTTGGTAAATTAAGATTAGTCTCTAGGAAGATTATTATGATTTGATTTGATATGTAACCCCTTTGTTTCCATTATCCTTACTCACAGTCTCTTGAATCTTTGATAATAAACATATTGTTTTCACTTTAACTACATCTCAGCGCTGTGGTGTGAAGCTAAGTGCTGATCCTGAGTTGAATCAGGCAAGCTGTTGTGTACACCTCTCCTTTGGGGACCACAGACCTGGTATTTCTGTGAGCATTCAGTGAATAAAGTACTGGACACTACAGGGAAACACTTCAAAAGAACTCAGGGACTGGGTTATATCTGTTAACCTGCAAGGCAAAGCAAGGGCTGGAATAGCCCAGAGTAGATTGTTTGGCTGGCTAACAGCAGGCTGGTCATGTCAAAGAGCCAATACCCAGTTAAACACCAGCAAGTCTCTCTCTTGCTAGAAGAAGGGGGTAATAAGGTGACTCTCAGTCCTCCTGGGTATCCCAAGAACCATCACACAAACTACATGGACTCTGCACCATACCTACTGAGTTACTTACAGGGCTAACAAGTGGTTTTTTGGGTTTTTTTTTTTTAAATCACCTTTGCTTCTGTATCTTTTTTTTAATCACAAGGCCAGTGTACTGTGTTAAATTGTAACTGCAATTAGCTTTTCTCTGGAAATGCTTTTAATAATGACTCTCTGTCATGACTGAAATGCAGAGAAATGGGAGGTAGAAAGAACAGGTAAAAAACAATCCATTATGACGAGTCAACACTATAACAAGGAGTCAGAGTTCTAATCAGTCCTACAGGACTGTATGTAATAAAAGGAGGAGGTTTCCAGCCTTCTAGGTTGACTTTACTGAATGCATGTTCCAAAGGACATAACCATAAACCCAACGCATTAGACAAAGGCTCACAATGCAAATAAGTTATGAGCTAGTTTGATCTGCACAGGCATAGAAAAATGTTTCATTACCCCCTACTATTAAACATCTCCCTGATCTTTCAGTAGTAGTTTGCTAAAAAACAGCAAAATCACTACCTTTGAAATACTGAAAATTAAAAAAAAATAAACTCAGTTCAGTGCCTCTAATTTCATAAAACTATAAACATGAAATATAATTTGTTATTACAGATGAAGTTTATATTTGGCAAGTGTGCCAAGTTTAGATCAAAACCCAGATTATATGTAAATATTGCATAATTAACTCTGTCTCAACAAAAGAACATCCCTCTTCCCATTCTCACCTGCTCATTTAAAAAAAAAAGCGCAAGAAATTAGTCTGGCTCAGACATTTTCCAAGCCTTCTTACTCCTAGATTCACAAGAGTAGTAACTGAAGGTGATTCTACTTTTACCCTCCAGAAGTGTTAGAAGACTGTTTTTCCCTTTCTTTATTTACTTCACACACTTTGCTCCTATAAACAATACATAGAGACACCACATACATAATTCAAATGCACCAAACACTAGTGATGCAAGATCTGAAACAAAACTGGACTTTGGGACTGAATGTTGAAGTCCAGCTAGAAACCAAATCAATAAAAAAAAGTTATTTAAAATCTTAGATATCTAAAAGGCAGATGGGAAAAAAATCCTGTTTCTTGTTCAGAATACTCAGAAGATGTAATTATATACTTCACTCTACACCATGTTTTAACTCTGAGTAAACTTTGTTTTAGAAGCATTTGTAATTCTCCCTCCGTAAAAACTCCCTCCAAAAAAAAAAAAAAATTATATAGAAGAGTTCTCTCCTTTACTAGTTGCCAACAGAAAATTAATGTAATTTAAAATATGTTAATGCATTCACCTAAACAACTGTATATAGTTTACCAGAAAATAATTAAATATATGCAACATCAAAAAGTGTCCATTTCCTCAACTCCTTTCAAATTATACCAGAAATAACCTGTAGCACTCATATCCTAGGTTTAAAATCTTCAATAGAATAACCACAACCACCACCACCAAATCATTCTTCAATGATTAAGTTGCAGCCTACCTGATGCGCCAATTGGAGAGGTAGCTGGGGTCATACTATGGACATTCAGGCCAAAATTGTGGGATGGACCTGGGGCTGGCACTACTACAGGTGGTCCAGGTGGGTTCTCTCTTTGTGGAGAGGTAAGGGGGGTGCTGGGCTGGGAAGATGGTCCACCTGCAAGCCGAGCAAGGCGCCTTCGACGGATCTGTACAAAGGAAATAAAAAGTAGATAAAGTACACACACACACACAGAATTTCACAAACATTGCACCAATGGTCCTTCCAAGCAGTATGCATATCAACCTCTGCCAAAAGGCATCACCAAAAACAATAATATAATGTATGACCCTTGATATAAAGGGAAACCTGCATTAAAGATCACCTCCAATAAGCAATTCCCCTATGTCATGTGACCAATCCCCATGTCTTATGTGACCATTTTAAAATACCTCTAGAGTTTCCAGTACATTTTTAATATCTCTGAATACCATCTCTACTGGCCAATCTAATTTGTGTTAGTCCCTTGAGTAGTCATTTAAGACAGGTTTCACTTTCTATTGAATAGCAATGTGAACACACAACAATTCCCTTCCTCTATTTTAGCATTTGATGGAATAAACTATGTTCTTCTGTTAAAGGGACCTTATCAACATAAATATTGCCCAAATTTCATAACATCTAAGACCAACAGAAATATTTGTATTTAAAAAAAATTTCTAGTGAAAATAGTTATCTTTAATCAAAAGATCATTACCCTACAGTGTTTGAAACCCAAACATGAAGACTCTATAAGTGACATTTTTCAGCCAAACAGAAATACAGAAAGTAAATGAAGAGACTAACATCCTGAGTCTAGGAGCAGTAAATGAGCATAAACTGACAGGTTAATTGGATTTTTAAAATTCTATCCCTTAATGTGTTATTAATAACACAAGTAAAGAAGTGTGTTTGCTTGCAACATGTGACAGGTTGCTAGTGTTCTTTATAATTTTCTAAAATTTAGTACCACCACAAGCAGATTGGCTTGATACATAGGGAATAGACAGACAGAGGGAAAATAATATCTACACAATTTTTAGAACCAGAAAACTAAAAAAAAGTAATGAAAAACTCAGAAAGTTAAATATTACCAAGAACCACTTCTCTAGCACTAAATCAGTGTTCAATCAACTGCACCATTTCTCACTTTTGCCCATAATACCCAAGAGTTGCCAAGCATGTGAAAGAGTGCAAGAAAAGATGTGTGTCAAGTGACTTATACCATGTTACAACAGTCATTTAATGGCCTGCCAAACCTTCCTCAATAGAGAAAGAAGATGAACAGATCAAATTAAACTAGACTTGAAAAACTCTGGGAAAACATAGCTTCTGGAGCAGCATCTCTTCCTTGACTCTGATGTCACCCATGAATACAGAAGGTGGAAGAAAATAAACCCTTGGGTTTTTTGTTTTTGTTTTTTTAAACAAAAAGGGCTTTGAATAGAATATCTTAATCCTACTCTTTACTAAGTGAAGTTGGGGTGTTTCTATTACAGCAAGACAAAACAGAATCCACTCATGCAGCTAAAAACTGTTCTTACTGGGCTCTCTACAGAAAAATATTTAAGAAATAAAACTCACATTTTCCCCCAAATCTGATTTGCAGTGATTAAAGCTGAAGATTTTATATCCTATATACCCACTTACATGAAAATTTTCTGTAGTGTAACATTGCTCCAACCATTAGGCAGTTACTACATTTCACCCAAGAGGTAGCCATATTTTGGTAGTGGTTCAAGTGATCCCTAAATATACACCTTGTAAATCAGCTGTAACTCAGAGTATCTTCTACTCTTAACCTATATCTGGGGTCGGCAACCTTCGATACGCGGCCCATCAGGGTAATCCGCTGGCGGGCCACGAGACGTTGATCATCCGCAGGCACTGCCCCCCACTGCTCCCAACGGCAAACCGCAGCCACTGGGAGCTGCAGGGGGCGGTCAACGTAAACAAAATGTCTTGCGGCCCGCCAGCAGATTACCCTGATAGGCCGTGTGCCGAAGGTTGCTGACCTCTGACCTACATCATGCTATTTATACTATATAAAATAGAAAACAATTAATGTGAGAGAAAAGTACCCCTAGGGTTTTCTTTCACACTGTGTCAGTGACTGGATGTTGTTATTGTAAACTAATTCCTCTACAAGGAAAAAAAAAAATGACTAAGATTCCAGTCCCAAAAAAAACGTATGCAAGTGCTGAACTTGACACACAAGCAGCCCTGTAAACTACAATGGGGATACTCACATGTGTAATGTTCTGTTTGAGTGTCTGCAGGACAAAGGCCTAAATCTCCATATCTGCATTAAAAATATATATATAATTTTTGCGCGTGTCTGTGTGTCTGCAAATGGGCTGCGGGTGGTATAGAGCTAGAGTCATCACCACAGATGTCACAAGGAGATAGATAATAAGACAGAAAATATTCCTATTCCTTTCCTCATGGTTCTTAGCATTGTTAGCTTTTGACTGCTGCTGCACATTGAGCAGATGTTTTCATGGAACTAGCCGCGATGATGCCACAATCTCTTTCTTGAGTGTTTACAGCTAATTTAGACCCCATCATTTTGTACGTATTGTTGGGATTATGTTTTCCAATGTGTATTACACAACACTGAATTTCATCTGCCATTTTATTGCCCAGTCATCCAGTTTTGTGAAATCCTTTTGTAACTCTTCACAGGGTATGTCTAAAGAAAGAAAAACCTGGGCTCTAGGACCCTGTGAGGTGGGAAGGTCTCAGAACCTGGGCTCCAGCCTGAGCCCAGAAATCTACACAGCAGTGAAACTTCCCCGCAGCCGGAGCCCCGTGAGCCCGAGTCAGCTGGCACAGGCCAGCTGTAGGTTCTTCTTTGCTGTGTAGACATACCCACAGTCAGCTCTGGACTTAACTATCTTTAGTAATTTTGTATCATCTGCAAACTTTGCCACTTCACAGTTTACCCTCTTTTCCAGATCATTTATGAATATGTTGAACAACACTGGTCCCAGTACAGATCCTTGGGGGACCCTGCTATTTACCTGTCTCCACTGTGGAAACTGAACAATTTATTCCTACCCTTTGTTTCCTACCTTTTAACCAGTTACTGATCCATGAGAGGATCTTCCCCCTCTTATCCCATGGCTGCTTACTTTGCTTAAGTGCTTTTGGTGTGAGATCTTGTCAAAGGCTTCCTGAAAGTCCAAATTCACTCTATCCAAGAGATCACCCTTGACCACATGCTTGTTGATCCATGATTCCCCTTTACAAATGTAGTGAGACTCTTCCCCAACATACTGTGTTCATCTATGTGTCTGATAATTCTGTTCTTTACTATAGTTTCAAATGCCAGGATCGCCTCTATAGCATATTATAAAAATTGGCTTAGCCATTCAGAAGAAAAGAAGATTATTGGACACAAGAAGCCAATTCTCAGTCACACTGTGGAACAGTAAGAAAAGAGAATTATTGTATTAACCCATTTATCCAAAGGGTCTTCAAGACACCACAGATAAATATGGGAGCAATGCATGGCAGGATTGTTTAACTGGAATGTATGTGCATCATAATTTTTGTACTTGCACTACTGAAAGGTTATTCTCAATCTCCCTACTATAAGAAAGCACTTTGGATTTCCATCCTTTTTTTCCCCCCTTCTCTTACCTGCAAATCCACTCTGAAGCAGCAACACTAAGTCTCATTCATACTACTGTTGACGCTATACTAGTAACAATTCTGTTTAAACATAATTATTGCTAGTACAGTTTGCTTGACCAGTGGTTGGTACAATGGCTTAGCTACAGCCAAATTTAAGGCCCAATCTATTCCATAAAATCTACTATGTTTAAGTGTCCTTCTTAAACACACTCTAGTAATCCAGTCACATTTTAATGTGACTGGATTACTAGAGAGTGTTTAAGAAGGACACTTAAACATAGTAGATTTTAATGTGACTTGGTCTTGCCTATGCCGATTGGCCCAGACAATGTCATAACCATCTTAAGACATCCTAATATAGCTCTGATCTTGTGCCCCAATACTTAAACATGGTACATTTTGGAGATGAGATGGGCATAAACAGCATTAAAATGGGTTTTAAACAGTGTTATAAGGCCAACACAAAGAAGTTCTATCTCAGGATATTTACAATTTGTCTAGCATGTCTCCCTGGGGGAAAAAAATCCTATCCCAACAGGTCAGGAAAGCCATGCTAGCAAATGACCATGTTTAAACACAGTTGTCAATAGCAGATTTTTGACTGTAGTGTAAGTGGCATCCACGAGGCCCTACTCTACACTACAATAAAAAACAATCTGAGATGCCCATGTTATAGTGTGTATTTGTAACACTTAGAATTTACATCTCCCTTTTTGCCTGTTTCTCATGTTTTGCAGCAGCCATCAACATTAGCTGAGCAATGACAATAGTACTCAGAGACACAAGGTGGGTGTGGTATCATCTTTTTTTGGCCCAACTTCTGTTGAACAAGACAAGCTTTCATGTTCCATAGAGCTCTTCTTCAGAGCTCTGGAACCTTTAGGGTTGTCTGTATTATAACATTTTCCCCTTGCTTTTGTGGACACACAAATCTACATCAGTGTTCAGGAGCACTGATTTAATATAGGTCAAAACCTTCAAATGTCAGTTTTGACCTAGATTAAAGCATTGTTCCTCAACACAGAACTTTTTTCTTTTTTTTTTTTAAGTGAACAGGCAAAAAGTGTTGCAAGGTGGACAACTCTAGGCCTGTCATACCACCATGCACTAACAGTTCTTTATGCAGCGTAAACCAACTAGATCAGTTCTAATACTATAAATCCTACAGAGTGTTGTTGCTGTTGCCCTGCTAATATCAAGAGTTATAGCAAGACAAGGGAAATAAGCAAAAGGAAATACATAAAGTCTACCTGTCATTACAAACTCTCATTCAAATTAATGGAAGTGGAAGAAACAAAAACAATCTTTATTAGCCAGGTATGATGGATTTGAAGGCTAACCAATCCATTCAAAATAATTTCTAGCAGAAAACATGAAAAAATGATTGAAAAGTCACAGATAAGTAGAGTGTTGATGAAATGTCACACAATTCAGCTAATGTTATCTGAAAAATGAAAAGTCATCCCCTGACACTCTGATGTATAGCTGAGGAAATGTCAACCTCACTTTTGTTTTTCCATTTGCCAAGTC